GGAAGAAGGGGGGGGGGACCCTGTTATATGTGGCATTTTGCCAAGAAAGGGTGTTGGAAACGAATTCTCCAGAACAATTGATATTAATTGTTGGTTGGACAAATACTGTAAAAATATGCAGTACAATTCATTCACAATTGGGACCACTTCTACGGTAGAAATAACATGTATGCCAGGGATGGGGGTTCACTTATCCAGGGCGGGTGTGGGTTTTGTCGCTAGTTCAGTTGAGAGAGTTGTCAGGGCTTTAAACTACGATTAGTTAGAAGTAAATGTTTAGGAAAGGAAAATAATGTATGTGGAAATATTGATTTAGGCTTTCATATCACGAACCTAATAATAGTCATCAAGTAACACTGGGTAATGATAATAACAGAAATTGTGTAAAAGCAAACCTGAACAGGAAAAAGTGCAGACGAGAAAACATGTTAATGTATTTTATACTAATAACAGAAGTGCTAGGAATAAAATTAATGAATCACAGTTGTTAGCATTAGCAGAATGATTCATTCTGAGGAGGATACCAATGAACTCCAGGAGGATTTGGACAAATTAATGTCTTAGTCTGAAAAGTGGCAAATGCAGTTCAGTGTAGACAAGAGTAAAGTCCTTGGGACTGAATATAACCCTCGCAGTTATAAACTAGATGATGTAGAGCTTGATCACACAGAATGAGAAAAAGATGAGAATAAGACACATGTGCAACATCTGGGTATCTTTATTGTAGACGTTTTGCCATCCAGTGGCTTTATCAATACAAATTCCAGGACATAACTTGAAGAGAGTAGAATTATGTACAGAAGATGAGGTAATCAGTCCCTCAACCTAGGAGTAGGTGCGAACAGCACCTACTCCTGATTACCTCATCTTCTGTACATAATTCTACTCTCTTCAAGTTATGTCCTGGAATTTGTATTGATAAAGCACTGGATGGCAAAAACGTTACAATAAAGATTACCCAGTGTTGCACATGTGATCTTATTCTCATTTTTTCTCATTCATGTGTGATCAAGTCTACATCATCTAGTTTATAACTGCGAGGTAATCAGTCCCTCAACCTAGGAGTAGGTGCGAACAGCACCTACTCCTGATTACCTCATCTCTGTACATAATTCTACTCTCTCAGTTTGTCCTGGAATTTGTATTGATAAAGCCACTGGATGGCAAAACGTCTACAATAAAGATACCCAGATGTTGCACATGTGTCTTATTCTCATCATGTCGGTATTATATACCATTCGTACACAATGAGAAAAAGACTTGGGAGTCATGGTACGCCGAATTTAAAACCAAGACAACCAGCTAAAGCCAAGATAAGTATGCCAGTAAGCTAACAGATTACATTTGGAGTTATATCAAGAAGTATACAGAACAGGAGTGCAAAGTTATTTTACAGCTCTATACCATAGTGAGGCCCTCACTTAGATTATGCTGGGTCAGTTTGGTCTCCTTACTCAGAAAGGATAAAAATTCGTTGGAGAACTACAGAGAAGGATGGCAAAGGTTGACTGACTGTATAAGAAATTTCCCTTATGAAGAACCTTTGAATCTTCACTCAGAGACGTAGGGAAAGAGAGGAGATGTCACTGAAGTGGATGATGGACATAAACAAAGGCGAATATATAAAAATACGAAGATATGAATCAATAGCAACTAGAAATAACGGATTTAGGTCAGATAAATTTGATTTAGAAGGGCATAGGTAAGTATTGGTTTTCAGAGTTGTCGATACATGGAACAATCTTCCGAGTAAGGTGATCGAGGCTAGGATCCTGGGTAGCTTTAAAAAGAGATTAGCCAAGTATATGAGCGCAAGGGGTTGGGCCTGATTGATGTCTCCAACACAGAAGCAAACTTTTGAGTAACTTTGGGAAAAGGTTTGACAAATAAGATAAGAGCACGATAAGAGACAACACAATAAGTGTCAGGGGCCCAAGACTGTTCAACTGCTTCCCAGCATACATCAGGGGGATTACCAATAGACCCCTGGCTGTCTTCAAGCAGGCACTGGACAGGCACCTCAAGTTAGTACCCGACCAGCCCGGCTTTGGTTCGCATGTTGGATTAAGTGCGGCCAGCAGTAACAGCCTGGTTGATCAGGCCCAGATCCACCATGAGGCCTGGTCACAGACCGGGCTGCGGGGGCGTTGACCCCCGGAACTCTCTCCAGGTATACTCCAGGTAATACCTGGGTGGTTTTGATAAGGACTTGCTATGTATGGGCCAGTAGGCCTCCTGCAGTGTTACTACATTCTTATGTTCTTTAAATAACAAGATTCCCAATGGAAATAAGGATCCCAATGGAAATATAAAGGACCCCAATGGAATATCAAGGAGTCCCCCCCAAATATGGAAATACCAGACAGTGGAAATATCAAGGATTCCCAATGGAAATATCAAGGATCCAACGGAAATATCAAGGATCCCAGTGGAAATATCAAGGATCCAATGGAAAATATCGAGGATCCAATGGAAATATCATGGATCCCATAGGAAATAAGTTACTTTATCAGATTTTTTTGGGTTACTCTGCGTAATTTCCACTATGATAATTGTACATATATGTACCCGAACCTGGATGAACTTACTGACTTGTTGACTGACTTACTGACTGACTTAGTAACTGACTTACTGACTGACTTAGTAACTGACTTACTGACTGACTTAGTAACTGACTTACTAACTGACTTAGTAACTGACTTACTGACAGACTTAGTAACTGACTTACTGACTGACTTAGTAACTGACTTACTGGCTGACTTACTGACTGACTTACTGACTGACTAAGTAACTGACTTACTGGCTGACTTAGTAACTGACTTACTGGCTGACTTACTGACTGACTTGCTGACTGACTTAGTAACTGACTTACTGGCTGACTTGCTGACTGACTTACTGACAGACTTAGTAACTGACTTACTGACTGACTTAGTAACTGACTTACTGGCTGACTTACTGACTGACTTACTGACTGACTTAGTAACTGACTTACTGGTTGACTTAGTAACTGACTTACTGGGACTTCTGGATGTTACTGACTGACTTAGTAACTGACTTAATGGCTGACTTGCTGACTGGGCTTACTACAGACTTAGTAACTGACTTACTGCTGACTTAGTAACTGACTTACTGGCTGACTTACTGACTGACTTACTGACTGACTTAGTAACTGACTTACTGGTTGACTTAGTAACTGACTTACTGGCTGACTTACTGACTGACTTACTGACTGACTTAGTAACTGACTTACTGGCTGACTTGCTGACTGACTTACTGACAGACTTAGTAACTGACTTACTGACTGACTTAGTAACTGACTTACTGGCTGACTTACTGACTGACTTACTGACTGACTTAGTAACTGACTTACTGGCTGACTTACTGACTGACTTACTGACTGACTTAGTAACTGACTTACTGGCTGACTTACTGACTGACTTACTGACAGACTTAGTAACTGACTTAATTACTGATTTACCGATTAACTTACTGATTGACTTACTGACTGACTTAGTAACTGACTTACTGACTGTCTTACTGACTGACTTACTGACTGTCTTACTGACTGACTTACTGACTTACTGACTGTCTTACTGATTGACTTACTGATTGGCTTACTAACAGACTTAGTAACTGACTTACTGACCGACTTAGTGACTGACTTAGTTACTGATTGACTTACTGACTTATCGACTGACTTACAGACTGACTTACTGACTTACTAACTGACTTAATAACTGATTTACCGACTGACTTACTGATTGACTTACAGGCTTACCGACTGACTGACGTACTGACTTACTGACTTACTAACTGACCTACTGACTAACTACTGACTGACTTACAGACTGACTTACTGACTCAGTGACTTAATAACTGACTTACTTGCTGACTTATTGACTGACTTAGTGACTGACTTACTAAATTACTGACAGACTTACTGATTGACTTACTGATTGGTTCATTGACTTACTGACTGACTTATTGCCTTACTGAGTTATTGACTGACTAACTTACTGACTTACTAACTGACTTACCGAGTTACTGACTGACTTACTGACTTACTAACTGACTTATTGATAACTACTTATACTACTTACTGACTACTTACTACTAACAATGAACTGACTTAACTAACTTACTGACTGATTTACACTAGATTACTGACTTACTGACTAACTACTGACTGACTTACTGACTTAACTACTGACTTACTGACTAACTATGAACTTACTGACTTACTGACTGACTTACTGACTAAACTACTGACTATAACTGACTGACTTACTGACTACTTACTGACTTACTAATTCTGGACTTACTGACTAACTACTGATGACTTACTGACTGACTACTACTGACTGACTGACTTACTGATGAACTTACTGACTTTTCTGACTTACTGACTACTTCTGACTGACTGACTGACTGACTAACTTACATGACTTACTATTACTGACTAACTTTACTGAATTTACTGACTATTGACTGACTTACTAAACTGACTGACTTACTGACTAACTACTGACTGACTACTTGACTGACTACTTACTGACTGATTACTGACTGCTGACTTACTAGCTAACTTATGACTGACTTACTGACTGACTAACTACTGACTGACTTACTGACTAACTTACTTGCTGATTACTGACCTGACTTACTGAATACTGACTGACTTACTAATTTACTGACTGACTTACTGACTGACTAACTGACTGACTAACTTGCTGACTGACTTACTGACTGACTTACTGACTGACCGACTTACTAGCTAACTTATTGACTGACTTACTGACTGACTTACTGACTGACTGACTTACTGACTAACCACTGACTTGCTGATTTACTGACCGACTTACTAACTACTGACTGACTTACTAATTTACTGACTGACTTACTGACTGACTGACTAACTAACTTGCTGACTGACTTACTGACTTAGCCAAGAGTTGCGCATGCCTCTGCTTCTTAATGTTGTTGCAACAGCTGTGTTGTGACGTCAGAGACAACAACAGTGGTAGCAGCAGTGGTGGTGTTGCTGCCTTCCTCTCCAACACCTGCCAACACCTGCCATGGCAGACCATATTAACCAAGACGAGGTATATTATGATGTGGCCCTGGACCCCTGGGTGGCCCTCAGGGCCACTACAGGGCCACTCAGGGCCACTGGTGCACTTGGGTAATGGCCAAATATTGTGACGGTGCACATTGTGTCTCCTGTGCTTTGTTTAGGGGTTTTGTGTATATGAGCCTATCCTAGGCCTATATTTTGTTAAATTGATTTAAAATGGCCTTCAAAAACTGGAATATATTTTTTTTATAGTTACGTTAGTGATTTTTTTTTTTTTGAAAAATTACAATACTCCCAGAACGACCCATAATAATTTTATGAGCCTATTTTAGGCCTAAATTTTGTTAAATTGATTTAAAATGCCCCTCAAAAATTGGAATATTTTATTTTTAGCTATGTGAGTGAAATTTTTTTGTTTGAAAGTTATGATGCCCCTAGAATGACCCATTGTAATTTCGTGAGCCTATCCTAGGCCTAAATTGTTTATTTATTTATAATTTGAGCACACTTACAGAGGTACAAAAAAAAATACAGATAAGAGCAGCCTAAATTGTTAAATTGATTTAAAATGGCCTTCAAAAACTGGAATATATATTATTTTAGCTGTGTGTGTTTTTTTTTTTTAAATACAGTGGTGCTGGAGCAACCCATTGTAATTTCATGAGCCTATCCTAGGCCTAAATTATATTAAACTTGTTAAAATACCCTTCAAAACGTGTTTTCTTTTTTCTATTTTTGACTGTGGGACTGATTTTATTTCATCTTTTTGAAAAATCACAATGTTGGAGCCACCTGCTATAATTCCCATTTCTCTATAAGAAAAAAATACTATTTTGAGTATTATTTTCCACTATATAAGTAGTTTCAAAGCATTAAACCTGAATAAAACTGGTTTAAAGTCACATTGACCCTGGTGGGTTTAGCGCTTACTTTTGCTTATATAATAAGTTTATGAATATATAATATGAATTTTTTTTTCAACAAGTCGGCCGTCTCCCACCGTGGCAGGGTGAATATATTATGAATATATTATGAATATATTATGAATATATAATAAGTTTATCATATATTTTGTTTAAGTTATCCTGTTATTAATAAAGAATTACCCACTCAAAAAAAAAAAAAAAAGTGAAAAACCATCATAGATTTAACTCTTAAACTGTCCTAGCAGATCTACGGTCACGTGTGTAGCGCTACAAAAATAGATCTACGTTTTTTTTACATATTTTCAAATGTAACAAAAAAAAAAAGTAGATCAAATTTTTTTACACGTTTTGAAATGTAAAAAAAAAAAACATCTACTTTTTTTTACATACTTTCAAATGTTGAAAAAAACGTAGATCTATGTTTGGACAGTTTAAGGGTTAATATAAACACTTTCCAGTTTTTTGTAATGTTAATGAAGATTTTTATATGAAATTTCAAGTGTTGGGGTTTGAAAAAAAAATATGTATTGCAATATATGCACAAAAGGAACCCTTGTGGGTTTAGCACTTAGTTTTGAATGTAATAAAGGTTTTGCTCATTAATGAAACAAAGAAATTTGGGACCTGACGATCTGTTGGAGTGTGAGCAGGGTAATATTTAGTGAAGGAATTCAGGGAAACCGGTTATGTTCATATAGTCGGACTTGAGTCCTGGAAATGGGAAGTACAGTGCCTGCACTTTAAAGGAGGGGTTTAGGATATTGGCAGTTTGGAGGGATATGTTGTGTATCTTTATACGTACAGTGGACCCCCGGTTAACGATATTTTTTCACTCCAGAAGTATGTTCAGGTGCCAGTACTGACCGAATTTGTTCCCATAAGAAATATTGTGAAGTAGATTAGTCCATTTCAGACCCCCAAACATACACGTACAAACGCACTTACATAAATACACTTACATAATTGGTCGCATTCGGAGGTAATCGTTATGCGGGGGTCCACTGTATATGCTTCTAAACTGTTGTATTCTGAGCACCTCTGCAAAAGCAGTGATAATGTGTGAGTGTGGTGAAAGTGTTGAATGATGATGAAAGTATTTTTTGGGGGATTTTCTTTCTTATTGGGTCACCCTGCCTCGGTGGGAGATGGCCGACTTGTTGAAAAAAAAAAAATTTTTTTTACAATAAGCAGATCAGTAGCAGCACAACATTTTTCATACAAGGGAAATAAATCTACATTTAAGTTTTCTTTGCGGAAATAATGATTTGTGGCCATTTACTGCCTATGATGGTAATTACATCACTGTGGGCCGCTGTTTTAACACCTACGACAGGTACAATATTTTCCTTTGCAAAAATTATGGTTCGGTTTTTGTTAAATGTAGCCTTGCTAATGCTATGATCCACTGTGATTTGTAATGTGGCCATTTACTGCCTACGATGGTAAGTACATGACTCTATTTACCATTATAGGCAGTAAATGGCCACCTACGATGACTATTATCTTCATGGCTACCTGCCTTAGAGAGGCTATCTTAGCTTGGCATTCAGCACCAGCTTATTTTTTTTTTTTTTTTTTTGAGTAGCTCTATACCCCGGGCACTTTGAGACCTTACCCCACGGCGCTGTATGACCCTTGTAGGATTAGCGCTTCATGTTGATTATAATAATTTGAGACCCTCCTATGGGTTTAGTGCTTTCCCTTGATTAAAAATATTTTTAGATATCTTTTAAGCATATAAAAGTCTACTATGACTGTTATCTGTTGATGTGTTTGGTGAAGCTGTCATTAAGATGCACATGTTATCTTTGTTGCTAATGATGCTATCAGATTCACATGTTTTCTTACAGGTTGGTGAAGCTGTCAGTAAGATATAAATGTTATCTTACTTGTTAATGAAGCTGTTAATCCAACCTGTTCTCTGTATTTTCACTGCTTGACACTAATTCTTCACCTTCAATATCTTTCATTGCAAGTGTAAGACTAGACCTAGTTTTTTATGTATCGCCCACTATTGCTTGAACTTGTGTCAGTCCTGCACACACTTGTGCCAACCCTGCATGCATTCACGTTGACCCTGCATGCACTCGTGTTGTCCCTGCATACCCTCATATCTATCCTGCATGCACTCGTGTCGATCCTGCATGCACTCGTGTTGGTCCTGCACCCACTCGTGTCGACCCTGCACCCACTCATGTCTACCCTGCACCCACTCATGTCAACTCTGCATGCTGAGCACAGTTTAGTGACCACTGGGAGCTTCTCACATCACTCTTGACCTTAGCTCAGTACTAACGTGCTCAACTTATTGAAACCACTACCAGTAAATAAGATAGGATTGGATCTTTTTTTTTTAATTATTAACCTGGAGGGTTAATAACCCAGGAAGACCAGCAAAGTCCTAGCGTCATCGAAGGTTATGGGTCTTACCTCTGTGGTATTCTTTAATTCTCTCAATCCACAAAAGTCGACAAACACCCAGGTACCTACTTAGTGCTAGGTGAGCAGGGACAGCTGGTGTAAGAAAACATGCTTGGGGTCTCACCTGTGTTGGGGAGCAGTCCCTGGTCCCTTGGTAAGTGAACTAAGCATGTTATCAACCTAGCTGTGCCTGCCTTCAATCCTCTCTACTCAGTGCTACCACAATCCACTCTTCAACTGCTTATGGCCAAGCTGGACTGGCTGAGCAACCTATACAAGACATGGATTGTATAGGTTTAAAATATTTCTGGGAGAAACTCGGCATAACTGTAACCAGTTCACCTGTGACTGGCTTGGAGATTATTATTTTTTAACATGATGTGATGCCAGGTTGTTATTGTTAGTGGCCAGATGGTACCCTTAACAACCAAAACTGCCTAATCAATATTGTCCAGTCTTAAAAATGAACAAATAAGATGGTAGCAAATTATGTATAAGATAATACGCAGGCCATGAGGACACCAGATTAAAGTCCTTAGAGAGAAATTTTAGTTAAGCCACCCAAGACAACATGACTTTAGAGTAGGAAGTTTCTGCCAATCACAACTTTGGTATTAGATCACTATGACAAAATTTCAGAGGCCTTGGTAGGAAAATATGCTGAGGTAATTTACAAAGATTTTGCAAAGGCATTGGGTTTAGAACTTCTTTTTGATTATAATAATTTGCAAAGGCATTTGACAGTTGTAACCATAGAGTGATAACTCATGAAATTAAACAGAAAAAGTAGGGAGATGCATATTCAGATTTGTTATAGACGGACTGCTAACATTTAAAGATAGTAACTTGTATATCTTTCAGTTTAAAAATATTTTACTTTGAAGATGGCTTATCAATATTTTAATATAGCATAGCTCTCTCTTGAAGGTGGCTTAGCTGTCTTTTAGTGATAACTTTGCTCTCTTTTAAAGATAAATTTACTCTAATGCTAACAGCAAGTCTGTCTTTTAGAAATATTCTGGTAGTAAAGATACGTGATACCAACAAGTACTGTAGTTGAAAAAATGCAAATACTAGGAGATTTTTATTGGAAATATTTGTCCTGGGACCTTGGTCACTGCACATATGGGCAGGAACCTTAAGGTTATATAATTAAAAATAATCGGGAAGCCCCTGAGTGGCAGCAAAGTTAAGGTTTAGTGGCAAGTTGTGTGATGGCCATAGTTGATGGTGGTTGGGTTGATGATATGGTGGCAATATTGTAAATTTCTTTTTTTTTTTTTTTTTTTTTTTTTTGCATGTGTGTGTTATAGTAATCATAGATTTCCAAACAGTGGCATTCAAAATGTCTGATGAAGCTTAAGTCACTGGTAGACTGAGTCAATTACTGGGCCTGTCTCTTGTTATTCCCTATTAAGAATTATAAATAATAGTCTTCAACTCATGATCATCGGTGTGTTGGCTAAATCCATCACATGTCCCTCTATGTTCTGGTAGACCACACATGCATTACTCAGGTCATTTGTGTTGCATGATGGCAGTGATGCATTAAGGGTTCAATATGAGAAATGATGGTAGCAAGGAAACTGTTGAACTGTTATAGAGGTGTTGTATTGATAATCATGGAAAACCCAGCCTATACGTCTGCTGGTCCCTGGCGTGGTTGAGTGAGTGAGGTATGGCCTAGTGCGAGGGGGTCATGTGACTTAAAAGACTTAACCAGGGAGCCTGCCTATAAATGGTACTATAACAATACTACTACACAATATTACACTGTTGACAGCTCAGTGATGCTAACGTATGGCATCCTTGACATACAGCTAGAAACTAATGCACAAATTAGATGGCAGACAATTCGGCTCCAGGCTGATCCTATATGGTGCAAAATACATTGTACAACAAACATATGACATGTTAGGGCAAAATGCATTACACTTAGCCTCATCAGGTGACCCTCTGTGTTCTGGTGGACCACACTTGCATTACTCTGATGGTATGTGTTGCATGATAGCATGTCAGTAGGGACATTAGTGAAGAGAAATGAAGTCAGGAGAGGCCATATAGTTATTCTTGGCAATGATGCTGGTAATGTATGACAGAAGTTTCCTAGAGTGCTTTTAATGTGAGCGCTAATTGACCTGAACATCTTGGATGGTGTTTTGTAAGGCAACCAGCTGACCAGTTTGGGGGTATTCCCTATACAGGTGATGGGTCAGAGGGGCATGCTAGGTTTGTGCATTTTGGAAACCAATATAAAAATACCATTTTGGCAATTAATATAAAAATACCACAGTGAAAATGGAAAAAACACCTGAGCCCTTTCATGTGCTTGTGCACACATCTTCAGATGTGTGCGCATATGTATTCAGATTTGTTAATGTTATGTCTTTTGTCATTCGGATTTGTTAATGTTACATCTTTTGTCATACAAATTTGTTAATGTTATGTCTTTTGTCATTCAGATTCGAAAGAAAAGGTTGGCACGACTCGGGGCAGGTTCTAGCAGTAGTAGCAATAATGGCGACTCATCCCAAATACTCGTCCCTCACTCCCCAGTAAGTGTAGTTCTTGTTCCTGCTTCAGTGAGAGGGAATTTGTCTGAAGGTAGGAAACCCTTGGCATTGTTAACCCGATAACTGTGGGAAGCTTTTGAAAAGTAAAAAACTAATATTTTTTCTTACAGTTAGATAAGAATTTGTCTCACTGAAACAAAACTAAAATGAGCAAAATCTGTTAAAGCTTAATTAAGATTTTATGGCGTGTTGAATTTGGTGAAAAAATGATCACTAATTGGCAACAGCTGTGAGTTCTAGTATGTCAGACACAGTTAAAAGGTTGATGAAGCATATATAACATAAATAACCCATACATAGGAGAGAGAGAAGCTTATGACATTATGGTCCGATGTGTAAATGGTCCAAGTTGGACTGTATCGTCGTCCATGTGTGGGTTATTTATGTATTATTGTTATCATGATATTGTACCTTTTTGTTTGTTAATGAAGCCTACAGAATCTGTTGTGAATGTTTGTGGTGAGGCAATCTTATGTGTATAGAATCAAGGAAGAGTATTAGACTTTAATGTTGTTGGTCGAGAGAAATCAAAATAATAATAAATGTATTCTTATTTAATTCTAATTTCATTCTAATTTAACTCTTAATTCTAATTTATTGTAGTTGTAAAACCACTCTTCGTAATTACCTATTTTGTAGCTATAGAGGCAGAGCTAAGCTTATAGTTCCCTGTTTTCAGTTTTCTGTACTTGTACAGTGCTTGGTGTTGCCAGTACTTATAGTACTTATTCTAGTAAAGCATTTCACTGATCTACCACTTGACAAAAAACTTTAGTGTAAATCCATGTATAGTAGGGGCCCCATTGGTACACTAAGAGAAAACTCCATAAGTGTCTGGGACCCAAGACTGTTCAGCAGCCTCCCACCATGCATAAGGGGAATTACCAATAGGCCCCTGGCTGCCTTCAAGATGGAACTGGACAGATACTTTAAAGTCGGTGCCTGATGTGCCGGGCTGTGGTTCGTACGTTGGACTACGTGCGGCCAGCAGTAACAGCCTGGTTGATCAGACCCTAATCCATCGGCAGGCCTGGTCATGGGCCAGGCTGCAAGGGTGTTGATCTCCAGAATTCTCTCCAGGTAGACTCCAAACAGGTAGGAGGGACCCACATATCCAGCACCCTCTTTTCAGTGTTCCACACTTTAGGTGGTTTTCATTTGAGTCATTGTTCATTATATTCTGTGCTTTTTTAGCTTTTCTGACATTTTCGCTCAACAGTCGTGTAAGGGAAGAGCTACTGGCGCCATAGTTTATGGTAAGTATTGTATAAGCTGTGTATTTATTTTACTTTTGTATGTTTTTATGCTAGCTGTATTGATTGTTTAAAATATGATAGTGTAAACACTTTATCAGGCATTTTAGATGCATTTAATATTGAAAAAATGCTCTATTTCCACCCACTGGTGACTTTTGCTTAACGCTGGGGGTCAGAAACCATAAAAATGGAGCCCTCCTGTACTATGTATGTGTATAAAAATACATTCTTCATGAATTTCAAAATGATTTGTAATAGTAAAAAGTGGATGTCTCCAGCAGGGTCTTCAGTTATCAACGTCTCCTCCAGTGTCGTCTCTCCTGCCGTCGCCCTCCAAGAGGCAGCCTCCTCCCTCGCCGTTAGATGTTACGCCCTGTAAAAAAGGTAGGCAAGATATGCTAATCAGTCAGTTGAGTAAGTAAGCGAGGGAGGTACGGTTTGGATGGTCAGTTTCAGTAACTGCAGGAAATTTAGCCATCAACAGAGCAGTAAGAAGCAATGAGCCAATGAGGTATTAACTGTTGAACTGTGAATTCTTCATGTGTATATTTTTAATTCTTATTTTCATAGATGCTCTTCGCTTTGCGATGGTTTTACTTGTGATATTTTGACTTAACAATGGTGCAATAGTGATACACGTTCTGTCAGGTACAGTAATGTACATTTATTGATAGGGTAAACTTGTATATTCATTTATTTATTTTTCTTTACTGATATTTAGTTAGTTACAGTAATTATTTATTTATTCAGTGACAGTAGTTACATATTTATTTATATCATATATTCATATGCCATATGTTCTATTTCAGTTGCATTTACAAAAAAAATATGTTATACAGAGGAATTTCATTAGAGAGAGATTACAGTAATCAGTTTCAAAAAAATTGCAGTGATTTTATTTTTATTAACACATCGGCCAATTCCCACCAAGGCAGGGTGGCCCAAAAAAGAAAAACTTTCATCATTCACTCCATCACTGTCTTGCCAGAAGGGTGCTTTACACTATAGTTATAAAACTGCAACATTAACATCCCTTCTTCAGAGTGTAGACACTGGACTTCCCATCTCCAGGACTCAAGTCCGGCCTGCCGGTTTCCCTGAATCCCTTCATAAATGTTACTGTGCTCACACTCCAACAGCACGTCAAGTCCTAAAAACCATTAGTCTCCATTCACTCCTATCAATTACGCTCACACACGCTTGCTGGAAGTCCAAGACCATTGCTCACAAAACCTCCTTTACCCCTTCCCTCCAACCCTTCCTAGGCCGACCCCTACCTCGCCTACCTCCACTACAGATTTATACACTCTCTGTTTTGTTCCATTCTCTCTACATTTCCGAACCACCTCAACAACCCCTCCTCGTCCCTCTGGATAATAGTTTTGGTAATCCCACACCTTCTCCTAATTTCCAAACTATGAATTCTCTGCACTATATTGACACCACACATTGCCCTCAGACATGACATCTCCACTGCCTTGAGCCTTCTCCTCATTGCAACATTCATCACCCATGCTTCACACCCATACAAGAGTGTTGGTACAACTATACTCTCATACATTCCCCTCTTTGCTTCCATGGACAAAGTTCTTTGTCTCCACAGACTCCTCAGTGCACCACTCACTCTTTTTCCCCTCTTTTCACCTCATCCTTCATAGACCCATCTGCTGACACATCCACTCGTAAATATCTGAATACATTCACCTCCTCCATACTCTCTCCCTCCAATCTGATATCCAATCTTTCGTCACCTAATCTTTTTGTTATCCTCATAACCTTACTCTTTCCTATATTTACTTTTAATTTTCTTCTTTTACATACCCTACCAAATTCATCCACCAGCCTCTGCAACTTCTCTTCAGAATCTCCCAGAAGCACAGTGTCATCAGCAAAGAGCAACTGTGACGACTCCCACTTTATCTTTTAACTCCACACCTCTTGCCAAGACCCTAGCATGCACTTCTCTTACAACCCCATCTATAAACATATTGAACAACCACAGTGACATCACACATCCTTGTCTAAGGCCTACTTTTACTGGGAAATAATCTCCCTCTCTCCTACATACTCTAACCTGAGCCTCACTATCCTTGTAAAAACTCTTCACTGCTTTCAGTAACCTACCTCCTATAGCATACATCTGCAACATCTGCCACATTGCCCCCTTATCCACCCTGTCATATGCCTTTTCCAAATCCATTAATGCCACAAAAACCTCTTTACTCTTATCAAAATACTGTTCACCTATATGTTTCACTGTAAACACTTTGTCTACATACCCCCTACCTTTCCTAAAGCCTCCTTGTTCATCTGTTGTCCTACTTTGCATCTTACTCTTAATTCTTTCAATAATAACTCTACCATACACTTTACCAGGTATACTCAACAGATGTTAAAATCATTACAGGCATTGAGCCCATGGAGGTGGAGAGTAAGGTGGAGCTGAGCAGTGACCTGGAGAACAGTTCACACTATCGTAGCGACAACAAGAGACACAGGGTGAGCTTCAGAGTCTTTCTGTATAGGAGGGGCTTGAGATACGATTTTGTTGGGACTTTTAACCCAGGGGAGGGTTAGCCACTCAGGATAATCCAAGAAAGTCAGTGCATCATTGAGGACTGTCTGCCTTATTTCTATTGGTGTCTTTCAATCTTCTCCCCCAGGATGTGATCCCCAGGATGCTTATGTGTGGCAACGTGGTTAGAAGGGAAAGATTTCGTTAATCGAGATCCTTACTAAAGTAAATTGTTATTTGAAATTTTTTTCATGTTTCTCTTAGAACATGTGAATAAATTCTTGGTATTACCTCAAATACAGTACATACAGTATATTACTTACAAATTTGTTTTTTGCTGACCAATTAATATGGTTGCTCACACATGCAAACTAAATACCACCCAAGTGGTAGAGCAATGGACATGACAGTTTTGGAAAATGGGTGCTGTATACTTGGGGTTCTCCTGTATAGACATTTTGTGCTAAAATATTTATGGTCTGCTTGAAATATACTAGTCACAGTGTACACATAATTGAGATACAGTAAACCCTCTTTTTAATGGACCAAGAGGAGAAAGCATATGGTCAAGAATGGCAGTTATGGTGGATGAAGATGAGATTATTTTTTGTGATAGTAGCAATAACAGATATTTCTGTAACCAGTGAACTTTGTTGTTTCTGAGTCAATTGACACAGCAGATTTTGTCTTGTATTTTTTAGTCTATTAAATTAAGGTTTGTTAAATTGAGGGTTGACAGTGATGCTAAATTGCAAGTTGATCAACCTATATGTCATGTTAAAGTTAATAATCAATAAATGATAATCATGATTATTATTTGGTAGTTATTAGCTTTATTACCAGCAGGTAGCAGATATGTTTATTTCCAGCAGGTAGTAGTATATTAACACATGGTGACTGCTTGTTGCCAAGGGTATATTTGTACTCATTTTTCTCTGTAAACAAGGTCCAGTTGCTGTCATATCTGCTAGAACATAAAAAAGGAGCACTGCAGCAGGCCTTCTGGCCCGTGCTAGACAGGTCCAAGTCACACCTGCTTAAGAAGGTAGGAGCACTACAGCAGGCTACTGGCCCATGCTAGGCAGGTCTAAGTCACACCCACCCACACCCTCTCATGTATTTATTTAACCTATTTTTAAAACTAAACAAGGTTTTAGCTTTAATGACTGTTGTCTTCACAGAGTGTAAGTACAAGTGAGGTGACCGAGGAGCTGATGTGGGCCACTTTATCCAATCTCCTCCAGTGTTCTTGGCAAGGTGTTGACAACATCTGCCCTCACACTGTAAATGTAAGATTTGTGCATCATCACAGTAAATTATTAGTAGTATTTTTTTAATTATCTGGCCATATACCAGAATTAGACTGATCTAAGAAAAAGAGGAGGAAATGCAGTCACTGTCATTCAGTTGCCATCTTGTTAGGTGTAAGGACACAAATGCTACTAATGTGACATTTTGTTTTGGCAACGTTTTGCTCTTCAGGAGTTGTGACAAAGCTCCTGGAGAGCAAAGCATTGCCACTGTAATATGTCACATTAGTTGCACTTATGTCCTTTTACCTAACATAGTGTCTGTAATTCTACTAGCATTATTACAAGGTATTTTATTTTATTTATTTATTTTTTTTTCAACAAGTCGGCCGTCTCCCACCGAGGCAGGGTGACCCAAAAAAGAAAGAAAATCCCCAAAAAGAAAATACTTTCATCATCATTCAACACTTTCACCACACTCACACATTATCACTGTTTTTGCAGAGGTGCTCAGAATACAACAGTTTAGAAGCATACACATATAAAGATACACAACATATCCCTCCAAACTGCCAATATCCCAAACCCCTCCTTTAAAGTGCAGGCATTGTACTTCCCATTTCCAGGACTCAAGTCCGACTATATGAAAATAACCGGTTTTCCTGAATCCCTTCACTAAATATTACCCTGCTCACACTCCAACAGATCGTCAGGTCCCAAGTACCATTCGTCTCCATTCACTCGTATCTAACACGCTCATGCACGCTTGCTGGAAGTCCAAGCCCCTTGCCCACAAAACCTCCTTTACCCCCTCTCTCCAACCCTTTTGAGGACGACCCCTACCCCTCCTTCCTTCCCCTATAGATTTATATGCTTTCCATGTCATTCTACTTTGATCCATTCTCTCTAAATGACCAAACCACCTCAACAACCCCTCTTCTGCTCTCTGACTAATACTTTTATTAACTCCACACCTTTTCCTAATTTCCACACTTCGAATTTTCTGCATAATATTTACACCACACATTGCCCTTAAACAGGACATCTCCAATGCCTCCAACTGTCTCCTTGCTGCTGCATTTACCACCCAAGCTTCACACCCATATAAGAGTGTTGGTACTACTATACTTTCATACATTCCCTTCTTTGCCTCCATAGATAACGTTTTTTGACTCCACATATACCTCAACGCACCACTCACCTTTTTTCCCTCATCAATTCTATGATTAACCTCATCCTTCATAAATCCATCCGCCGACACGTCAACTCCCAAGTATCTGAAAACATTCACTTCTTCCATACTCCTCCTCCCCAATTTGATATCCAATTTTTCTTTATCTAAATCATTTGATACCCTCATTACCTTACTCTTTTCTATGTTCACTTTCAACTTTCTACCTTTACACACATTCCCAAACTCATCCACTAACCTTTGCAATTTTTCTTTAGAATCTCCCATAAGCACAGTATCATCAGCAAAAAGTAACTGTGTCAATTCCCATTTTGAATTTGATTCCCCATAATTTAATCCCACCCCTCTCCCGAACACCCTAGCATTTACTTCTTTTACAACCCCATCTATAAATATATTAAACAACCATGGTGACATTACACATCCCTGTCTAAGACCTACTTTTACCAGGAAGTAGTCTCCCTCTCTTCTACACACCCTGCAGTGCTGTATAGTCCTTGTGGCTTAGCGCTTCTTTTTGATTATAATAATAATAATTCTACACACCCTAACCTGAGCCTCACTATCCTCATAAAAACTCTTTACAGCATTTAATAACTTACCACCTATTCCATATACTTGCAACATCTGCCACATTGCTCCTCTATCCACTCTATCATATTTTTTTTTTTTTTTCAACAAGTTGGCCGTCTCCCACCGAGGCAGGGTGACCCAAAAAAGAAAGAAAATCCCCAAAAAGAAAATACTTTCATCATCATTCAACACTTTCACCACACTCACACATTATCACTGCTTTTGCAGAGGTGCTCAGAATACAGTGGACCCCCGCATAACGATCACCTCCGAATGCGACCAATTATGTAAGTGTATTTATGTAAGTGCATTTGTACGTGTATGTTTGGGGGTCTGAAATGGACTAATCTACTTCACAATATTCCTTATGGGAACAAATTCGGTCAGTACTGGCACCTGAACATACTTCTGGAGTGAAAAAATATCGTTAACCGGGGGTCCACTGTACAACAGTTCAGAAGCATATACGTATAAAGGTACACAACATATCCCTGCAAACTGCCAATATCCCAAACCCCTCCTTTAAAGTGCAGGCATTGTACTTCCCATTTCCAGGACTCAAGTCCGACTATATGAAAATAACCGGTTTCCCTGAATCCCTTCACTAAATATTACCCTGCTCACACTCCAACAGATCGTCAGGTCCCAAGTATCATTCGCCTCCATTCACTCCTATCTAATATGCTCGTGCACGCTTGCTGGAAGTCGAAGCCCCTAGCCCACAAAACCTCCTTTACCCCCTCTTTCCAACCCTTTCGAGGATGACCCCTACCCCTCCTTCCTTCCCCTATAGATTTATATGCTTTCCATGTCATTCTACTTTGATCCATTCTCTCTAAATGACCATACCACCTCAACAACCCCTCTTCTGCCCTCTGACTAATGCTTTTATTAACTCCACACCTTCTCCTAATTTCCACACTCCGAATTTTCTGCATAATATTTACACCACACATTGCCTTTAGACAGGACATCTCCACTGCCTCCAACCGTCTCCTCGCTGCTGCATTTACCACCCAAGCTTCACATCCATATAAGAGTGTTGGTACTACTATACTTTCATACATTCCCTTCTTTGCCTCCATAGATAACGTTTTTTGACTCCACATATACCTCAACACACCACTCACCTTTTTTCCCTCATCAGTTCTATGATTAACCTCATCCTTCATAAATCCATCCGCCGACACGTCAACTCCCAAGTATCTGAAAACATTCACTTCTCCCATACTCCTCCTCCCCAATTTGATATCCAATTTTTCTTTATCTAAATCATTTGATACCCTCATCACCTTACTCTTATCTATGTTCACTTTCAACTTTCTACCTTAACACACATTCTCAAACTCATCCACTAACCTTTGCAATTTTTCTTTAGAATCTCCCATAAGCACAGTATCATCAGCAAAAAGTAACTGTGTCAATTCCCATTTTGAATTTGATTCCCCATAATTTAATCCCACCCCTCTCCCGAACACCCTAGCATTTACTTCTTTTACAACCCCATCTATAAATATATTAAACAACCATGGTGACATTACACATCCCTGTCTAAGACCTACTTTTACCGGGAAGTATTCTCCCTCTCTTCTACACACCCTAACCTGAGCCTCACTATCCTCATAAAAACTCTTTACAGCATTTAGTAACTTACCACCTATTCCATATACTTGCAACATCTGCCACATTGCTCCTCTATCCACTCTATCATATGCCTTTTCTAAATCCATAAATGCAATAAAAACTTCCCTACCTTTATCTAAATACTGTTCACATATATGCTTCAATGTAAACACTTGATCTACACATCCCCTACCCACTCTGAAGCCTCCCTGCTCATCCACAATCCTACATTCTGTCTTACCTCTTAATTCTTTCAATTATAACCCTACCGTATACTTTTCCTGGTATACTCAGTAAACTTATTCCTCTATAATTTTTACAATATCTTTTGTCCCCTTTCCCTTTATATAAAGGGACTATACATGCTCTCTGCCAATCCCTAGGTACCTTCCCCTCATTCATACATTTATTAAACAAAAGTACCAACCACTCCAACACTATATCCCCCCCTGCTTTTAACATTTCTGTCATGATCCCATCAGTTCCAGCTGCTTTACCCCCTTTCATTTTACGTAATGCCTCACGTACCTCCACCACACTTACATTCTGCTCTTCTTCACTCCTAAAAGATGGTATACCTCCCTGGCCAGTGCATGAAATTACCGCCTCCCTTTCTTCCTTAACATTTAAAAGTTCCTCAAAATATTCTCGTCATCTACCTAATACCTCCCTCTCCCCATCTACTAACTCCCCTACTCTGTTTTTTAACTGACAAATCCATACTTTCCCTAGGCTTTCTTAACTTGTTTAACTCCAAAATTTTTTCTTATTTTCATTAAAATTTCTTGACAGTACCTCTCCCACTCTTTCATCTGCTCTCCTTTTGCACTCTCTCACCACTCTCTTCACCTTTCTTTTACTCTCCATATACTCTGCTCTTCTTATAACACTTCTGCTTTGTAAAAAGCTCTCGTAAGCTACCTTTTTCTCTTTTATCACACCCTTTACTTCATCATTCCACCAATTACTCCTCTTTCCTCCTGCCCCCACCCTCCTATAACCACAAACTTCTGCCCCACATTCTAATACTGCATTTTTAAAACTATTCCAACCCTCTTCAACCCCCCCCACTACTCATCTTTGCACTAGCCCACCTTTCTGCCAATAGTCGCTTATATCTCGCCCGAACTTCCTCCTCCCTTAGTTTATACACTTTCACCTCCCTCTTACTTGTTGTTGCCACCTTCCTCTTTTCCCATCTACCTCTTACTCTAACTGTAGCTACAACTAAATAATGATCCGATATATCAGTTGCCCCTCTATAAACATGTACATCCTGGAGCCTACCCATCAACCTTTTATCCACCAGTACATAATCTAATAAACTACTTTCATTACGTGCTACATCATACCTTGTATATTTATTTATCCTCTTTTTCATAAAATATGTATTACTTATTACCAAATCTCTTTCTACACATAGCTCAATTAAAGGCTCCCCATTTACATTTACCCCTGGCACCCCAAATTTACCTACTACTCCCTCCATAACATTTTTACCCACTTTAGCATTGAAATCCCCAACCACCATTACTCTCACACTTGATTCAAAACTCCCCACGCATTCACTCAACATTTCCCAAAATCTCTCTCTCTCCTCTACACTTCTCTCTTCTCCATGTGCATACATGCTTATTATAACCCACTTTTCACACCCAATCTTTATTTTACTCCACATAATCCTTGAATTAATACATTTATAGTCCCTCTTTTCCTGCCATAGCTTATCCTTCAACATTATTGCTACTCCTTCTTTAGCTCTAACTCTATTTGAAACCCCTGACCTAATCCCATTTATTCCTCTCCATTGAAACACTCTCACCCCCTTCAGCTTTGTTTCACTTAAAGCCAGGACATCCAGCTTCTTCTCATTCATAACATCTACAATCATCTCTTTCTTATCATTTGCACAACATCCACGCACATTCAGACTTCCCACTTTGACAATTTTCTTCTTCTTATTCTTTTTAGTAATCTTTACAGGAAAAGGGGTTACTAGCCCATTGTTCCCGGCATTTTAGTTGACTTTTACAACACGCATGGCTTACGGAGGAATTTTATATTTTATATTTTATATTTTGACCAATTTTTCATAATTTTTTTGTCATTTTGCTCTTATTAAACATGTTATAGCTCTGGGCACTTTTATTTAGTAAAAATCCTTAACTTGTTGCTGATGATATATAGTAATGAATTGAAAAAATTGTATGTTGATTGGTCATTTTCCAAAATATTTTCTCCTCAACAGGTTACAAGTGGAGCAAAAATGGATGAAGTAACGTCACAGGTGTTGATGGAGGTTATGGTGCTGTTGTGTGCTGGTGAGACGCTCGAGGGTCTGGTCGATCCCAACATTAACCTTTCTCAGTCACCGGAGCTTAGTACTTCCCCAACAGGTAATGCATTCCTTATAACTTCTTTCTTTTCTTTTTTTTTACATTATCTTATCATCCATTTCCCACTAAGGTAAAATTGAGGAAGCCACATTCACTATCACTTAGTTAATGCACTTACCTTTGGTTTACTGTTTTATTATAGTAACTTTTTGTGTAATGCTCAGTGATAACCCACATGGAGACAGAAACGCAGAAGTTTAATTGATCAGTGTATTCGACCCTCGTCTGGTGTTCTTGTCAGAGTTTGTCTCCATGTGGGTTATTACTAAGCACTGATAAAAGTTCATTACACTTTCTTTTGTTTGTTCTGTAATATTTCTTTTCTACTTGCAATGGCTGGTCTAATACCAGAACAAATATATGACAAGCAAATAACACTATTAATGCTGGATGTATCTATAAATTTATTTTAGGATTCTTTCAAGCAGTGTGTTTATTATCCAGAAGCAAAAATATGAATGCACTGTTATGAGATCTTTTATTGATGGTGTTTTCCCCTTACACAGTGGGCTTTTTCAAGTCTACTTGAAAAGGTCCACTATGTGGGTGAAACACTGCCAATAAATAATCTGTATACACTGCATGTGTGTGTATGTGTTCATGTGTGTGCGCATTGTGTGTGTGCATATTTTTTCCATTGTTTTAGTATTTTATTCCATTTCTTTCCATATTCATTATCTGTTCTCAAATATGTCTCCATTTTTTCGATCATCATTAATGAGTCTGAGAATTAAGCTAAAGAATAATAAACTTTTATTGCCTTTGCCACTGTTTACTTAAACAAATTCTAGTCCAAATGTTTTTGCATTAAATATGGAGTTTTCTTTTGCATTAAATTTTCATTAATATGGTTTGACTATTGGTGATGTGTATTTCAGGAAGCAGTAGTACAACAGATTTATCAGAATTAACAAGACCCAGCCAAAGTTCAGAAGCTACAGCGCTTCTCTACCTTCTACAAACTTACGCTCATGTTAATAATGAAGAGAAATTACATCCTAAAGTAAGACAAGTGCTAATTTATTCACTTTTTATTAATCTCTTGGACAAATGAAAAAATCATGAATTAAATATATTCAAATTATTTACAAATTTGGTATATTATTGAGGTCAATTTGATAAACAATTTGATAATGAATTTCAGTGAGGTATTACAACATGAGAGTGATGTAGTACCATAGGACCCCTATATTCATGGGGACAAGTTATAAGCACCTGCTGCGGATACCAGCGAACTCTGTACAGCCTCTCCTTACTTAGCAATGTACTTGTTTACTGACGCCTTGGACTTACAACGGGCTCTTTGACCAGTATGCAAGCCTAAATAATGTATATTACAGCTGATTTCATCTATTCTGTTTATTACAATATACAGTACGCTACTGTATAAACATTTAAAAATATATACCAGAAATCTTATAAATGGTACAAAGGTGACATTAAAACAATATCAATGATGGTTGACACAAACCCACTGTCATTATAGTATGCTCCTCACTTAGCGACAAATTCGTTTACTGATGTAGTTTTAGGAACGGAACTCCATCATTAAGCGAGGAGAGGCTGTATATAAGTCGTTTTTGTTTACATACCTATTATAAAGTTTAAAAATTTTTTCACTGATGGGAAGCACTTCACAGCTTCTCTTAGGCTTTCAAGAACTTCCACCATCATTACCTTTGCACTTTGAGGTCATTATTAAGCAAAATTAAGGGTTATTTTCGGGCCACGATAAACCGCGGGTAACTGAAAAAGCAGATACTGGACCCATGGATACAGGGGTCCTACTATATATGTAAGAACTGAGTCAAGCATCAATATTTTTGATAATTATTGTGTAAATGGCCATGTTGTGAGTGAATGATAATCTTGATGAGTGAAACAGTAGAACTGCTAGACATTGTAGGTGAGTTTTGTACAGTGAGATGTTTCAAATTATAAATGCTTATTAAAGATATGTGATAGTTCTGTAAAATTGGGGATGTGGTTGTTCTCCAGGAGAATAAGAGTTTGTTTATTGCTTACAGAGAAGCAGCTCTCCTCCCATGTTGACATTATTGGTGGATGTGCGGCGTCAGTGTGTTGCTCATGCTAGCTTACTCCTCTCAGGTCAGTGTGTTGCTCATGCTAGCTTACTCCTCTCAGGTCAGTGTGTTGCTCATGCTAGCTTACTCCTCTCAGGTCAGTGTGTTACTCTTCTCAGGTCAGTGGTGAAGTGTGCCACATGTGCCACTGCTTACTTACATGATTTATATACTAGCTTACATGATTTATATACTCGCTTATGTGATTTATGTACTTATTTATTTGATTTATATCTCTTTTACCCTCATCTCTCAGTCTCACCTTGAATTCAGACTCTCTCTGATTTCTTAACTAATACCAATTTGCTACTTCAACTGTGACAGTACCTCCTCTCTTTATCATCTCTTTAACCTCTGTTGTTTATTGATGCCCTGTATGATGACCCTTATGGGTTTATAGTTTTCCATTAATTTTTTTTTTTTTTTAACAAGTCGGCCATCTTCCACCGAGGCAGGGTGACCCAAAAAAGAAAGAAAATCCCCAAAAAGAAAATACTTTCATCATCATTCAACACTTTCACCTCACTCACACATACTCACTGTTTTTGCAAAGGTGCTCAGAACACAACAGCTTAGAAGCATATACGTATAAAGATACACAGACATATCCCTCCAAACTGCTAATATTAATATTAATATTAGCAGGTAGTAGGTTGGTAGACAGCAACCGCCCAGGGAGGTACTACCGTCCTGCCAAGTGAGTGTAAAATGAAAGCCTGTAATTGTTTTACACAATGGTAGGATTGCGGGTGTCTTTTTTTTCTGTCTCATACACATGCAAAATTTCAGGTACATCTTGATACTTCTACTTACACTTAGGTCACACTACACATATATGCACAAGCATATATATATACACCCCTCTGGGTTTTCTTCTATTTTCTTTCTAGTTCTTGTTCTTGTTTATTTCCTCTTACCTCCATGGGGAAGTGGAACAGAATTCTTCCTCCGTAAGCCATGCGTGTTGTAAGAGGCGACTAAAATGCCGGGAGCAAGGGGCTAGTAACCTCTTCTCCTGTATATATTACTAAATGTAAAAGGAGAAACTTTCGTTTTTCCTTTTGGGCCACCCCGCCTTGGTGGGATACGGCCGGTGTGTTGAAAGAAAGATTAATATATAAATAATAATTCACTACCAGTTACCTTATTTCATAGCTTTAGTCATATTTGCAGCTTTCTCACACCTATTCTTTATTTGATTATTTTTTATGTAGTATTTAAGTTTTGTGTTATTCGTTAATGTCTCAGATTTTGATCTTATTCCAACCTTTGTCTGTCTGAGAAAGGTTTTGCAGATTTATTTAAAAATTGATCTGCAGATTCATATAATTTTTGTATAGGAGAAATAAGTTATTGACCACTACATTTGTACTTATATGTCTGGGCTTAAGTAAGATTCAGAGGTTGAATGATATGCCCTGTGCTGTATAATTTTTTTAATGCAATCTGGAATGTGTAGTTTGTTTTGTATTGTATTGTATATGGTTATGTAATTCTGAGTTTTGTGGTGTATTCAGGTTGTTTAACAAAATGTGAGCTTCCGGCGCCATCGCTACTGCTTCATCCGCTGCTGAGCGAATCACTGCCTCGGGGTTTCTTGTGTGATCTTATACAACACACTTTAGAACAACAAAATGTATTTACCAAGGTCTGTCGCTGCTGCTGTCTTCTTATAGTGCCTTTGCTTGTGTTTTTTGCATACAGGTGCTACTCGACTTACAATGGGGTTATGTTCCAAAAGACCCATCTTAAGTTGAAAATGTTGTTAGATGAATACGAATATGATATGCTAAATAGATAAGTAAATAAATTACCATCACTGAGTAAGTATATAAACAAATAATTACTCTAATTAAATAGCAGTATTGAAAAGTAAATAAATGAATACAAGTTATGGACTTGCCGCCTTCATGCTGGGTAATTATCTTAAGTTTCATCTCCAAAGTAATTGCTTTTGCACCATTGTAAAGTTGAAATATTGCAAGTAGAACCTTAGTAAGTTAAGGATCACCTGTATTTGTAATAAGTGCTACTGTGGTTACAAATGCTGTACTCTGAAATGATTTGCCATTTGAATATAATATATTGTAGCCTTGAAGGAGAGCATAATGATGATAAAGAGTATTGTGTACATCTTGTCTTAGGAACTTCTCAAAATGTGTCAGATATCCAGTGGTTTCACCTGAAACATTTTTATTTGCTTACAAATTTACAAGGTGGACTGTGGTTCAGAGATGGATCATTCAGTTTGTAACTGAAAAGACCTGGGTTCAATTCTGTAATGGGCAAGTCCCTTATACCTGCTGCCTCTCTTTACCTATCAATAAATAGGTACTGATGCGTCATTTGTCACCATTTTCTTGGTTTCCTTCCACTCTTAAAGTTTCTCTTGAAGCTAACATCTTAAAATCTGCCCTTGCAGAATGACAAAATTTGAGCACCATCGAAAAGCTTATGTTACCTTTTCTTATCTTTTGCTTATATATTTGTAGGGTATACAGTACATATATGTAGTATAATATCCGTGTGTTGGTCTTAAAATTTTAATTGTTGTGTTTATTTGGGTTCCCAGCTTATGAAAACCTAAATTACAAGCTTCCTCACTGGCAAACCAGGCTCGTAAGATACAGTGCGACACCTGCATTCATGGGTGATATGTTTCAAGACTTACCGTGGATACCTGAAACCTTGGATAGTAGTGAACCCTATATATGTTGTTTTTTGTTTACATACCTATGATAAAAGTTTAATTGATAAATTATGTAAAGTAATTTATCAATTAATTCTACCAACTTTATGATAAATTATGCACAGTAATTTGAGAATTAGCATGTCTTCAGTGATGGGAAGCACTTCACAGCTTCTCCAGGAACTATCATCATCACTACTTTTGTGCTTTGGGGCCATTGTTAAGCAAAATTAAGGCTTATTTTCAGGCCACTGTAAATGCTAGATAACTGAAACATTGGAAACTGTATGATGTTTTCAGAATTATTTATAAAAGTGCCTGTTTAGTGTGACTCATAACAACTCTGTACTACTGTACTGTTTTATTGGAAAAAATTTTGAGTTGGAGCAACAGGGATGCAACTTGTTTGTAAGTTGGAGAACCTGGACAGTAACTTGTTTGTAATTCACGTATTAACTGCACTTAGGAGATTGGAACTTATGACAAGGTTTTGGTCCCATCTGGACCATTAGCAAGTCACAGTGAAACAAGAAGGGAAGGAGGCCAGATATATGAGAGAGGATCAGAACACGTCATTTTTGTACATTGGAGCACCAAGTATGAAGCTGTTCATAACTTAGAGCACCTAGTTTATAAGTTAGAGTTACATGAACTCAACTTGTTCAGAAATTGGATTACTTGAAATGCAATTTGTTCATAAATTAGAGCACTTGGACTGCAACTTGCTCATTAGTTGAGGGGGTCTTCCCTTGTAGTGGTACAACTTGATGGTCAAGTTGGCCCGAAATGTTGTCATAGTTTTATTCTCCTATGTGCAGGTTGTGTATCGTTCCAGTCGTGATATTGTGCCTTTGTATTCTTTCTGGTACATTTTAGTTTAGCTTCTGTACCACTGTTAAGAAAATAAACTGCTGATTAGTTATTTTGTCTCTTCAGGTATTTGGTCCACTTCTTCAGGGATTAAGTTCAGCAATGAGAAGTTGTAGCGTCACATCACGGACATACATGAGAGTCTTTGAGTCACTGGATCTGCTCACTGATATTAAGGCCCACAATTCACCATCCCGCCCAATTTGTAATCTAATGGTATCAATGGTGAGTGTAGTGTGAGGGTAATTGTTACATGTATAAAGAATTCACATACATTACTAAACAAAAATAACTTTGTACCGAAATTTTTATGTAGCAACTTTGAATATCTTTAACCATTTTCATGCATTATTTTTCCCAGTTCTTCTAGATGTGTTCTCCTCAAGCCGTGAAAATAGAAAGCAGGATGATGATATACAGTTTTACTTCTCACAGAGCAACTGGTGTACCAAGAGTGAATCTCAGACAGTTGGCCGTGAGATTCTCTTTACCACTATACTCGGACCTTTCCTGGGACTCTCCCTTTTTGCCGAGGACGACCCCCATGTGGTGGACAAATTCGTCAAGCACCAGAGCAATGGACGAACAGTTCCTGATGGCTTGCAGGATCTAGCGAGAGAACTGGATCACATGCGCACTGTGAGTAATTACCCATACATATCAACGATGTTGGAAGTGTATAGAATAGGTAGTAAGTTACTAAATGCTGGAAAGAGTTTTTATGAGGACAGTGAGGCTCAGGTTAGGGTGTGTAGGAGAGAGGGAGATTACTTCCTAGTAAAAGTAGGTCTTAGACAGGGATGTGTAATATCAACGTGGTTGTTTAACATATTTATAGATGGGGTTGTAAAAGAAGTAAATGTTAGTGTTAAATTATTGTTGCTCTGTGCATGCCACTAAAATTTATAATTTTTTAATGCTTAATCGCTTCTCTTATAAGACAAGGTTGCATGAGGATAATTCGTTTACCCTAAATAATGTAATGTGAGTTTAGCGATTCACATATAATTAAGCACTCCCATTTTTCCTTATCATTTTACATATTACACTACTAATACTATTGAATATATAATATAGTACAATGCTGGTTTTCAGAAATAGGTTGATATTCTGTAGTTAAAATTAAAATCCTTTATTTTACTTGCCAGACTATACTCCACAAGCTCTTCCATAGTATGCTGGTAAATACAATGTCCCGGGAGCCAGTCTTGTCGTTCCTTGCCAAAATAATCCAACACAATGAGCGGCGTGCTCAAATCCATGTCGAGGAACGCCTGGTGGCTGGAGACGGACCCATGATTAACCTGCTCTCTGTGCTGCAGCAACTGTGTTTTAAGGTGACTTATATATTGTGAAAATGGTATAAAATACTGACAGGTTGATGATGGGTTTGGGACATTTGCTGTTTAGAGGAACATCTAAACTGTCGAATCTGTGTGCCTTGGCAAGACAGTGATAATGTAAATGATGGTGAAAGTATTTCTTTTTCTTAAGTGACCCTGCCTTGGTGGGAGACAGCCAGTGTGTTAAGAGGCAAAAAGATGAGCAAGACACGTGTGAAACAATTGGGTATCTTTATTGTTGAAATGTTTTGCATACACAATAGGTGAAATATTTCAACAGTAAAGATAGAGTAGTGAAGTTGATGTAATCACTCCATCTATCTTGGAGAAATAGTATTTAGGTGGTCAGTTCTTCAACCTGGAAAAGACTTCAGCTCCATCTATATTACAGTGTTGGTACCAAATGTCCAGCCTCCAGAAATGATATTTTGTAGTGGCCATGTTTACACTCAAGAGTTTTTTCCTTGTTTAATTCTGCTTCTTCATCTCCTTCAATACGTCGGCCGTCTCCCACTAAGGCAGGGTGACCCCAAAAAGAAAGAAACACTTTCACCATCATTCACACATAATCACTGCATTGGCAGAGGCATACAGATACGACAGTTTAGATGTCATTCCAAACAGCTAATATCTTTCTATTATATGCCTGGTAAATTAGTCCTCAGTCAGTTTTCATATTTTTGTCCTAGTATAAGCAGGCTGCCCCCATAGCAAATCTAAAAAAACATTACATTTCTAACCTTAGAAAAGACTGGGCTAAAACTGAAGCTTAAATTCTAAAGGGTTAGTCATAGAAATAGTGTTGGCAGCCATTACATTTGTTCATTTTCATAACAAGAGTTAGAGTACAATTTTTTTTTTTGTTTGCAGGTAAAACTTGAGAAGGTGGATCCTTACTACATGGCTCATCCCGATTCCCTGGTTGATATTTCAAAAGACTCGCGCCTGACCATGACCCAAGATGAGGTGGAGGAGTGGGTGAAGAAGCTGCGTAAGTAGGCAACTCCTCATTGTCAACCTTGTGTGATTTTAAAGAATAAAAAGTCACAATATCATGACTGGAATAATACACAAATAACCCGCATATAGGACACTGAGACCTATGATGATGTTTTGGGCGCACTTGGACCATTAATTAATCAGGACTGAAACATCGTCATAAGTTTCAGTCTCCCATTTGAGTTATTTGTCATATGTGATCTTGTTAGTGGTAAATGTTGGAATCTCTCTCAGGCATTTGAAGTTAGTTGCCCTCTTCTTCCCTGAATCAAACCTGATTACCTCCTTTCCAAGTCTCTTTCTCATACCTCTATGGGTTTAGCACTTCCTCATGAATATAATAGTACAGTTTGACCCCAACTTTAAATGTTGTGGGTTGTGATGATTAATATTTACAACCTTGGCACTTTTGAATCAATTAATTATTTATTAACAAGCGATTTATCCTTGTGTTTACTAGTTCTGTTTACTAGCCTTAAAATAGCAAGAAATATCACTTCATTGATCAACATAGGATCAACATTCAGGGTAAATACTGTACATTATGTTAAGTTTTGCATTTATATCATTTTTTGTTTAATTATTGTGTGGTTTTTATGACTTGATGTGCTGTTAGTGTGAGCAAGGTAATATTTGTAAAGGGATTTAGGGAAGCTGGTTAGCCAGACTTAGAGCCCTGGAGATGGGAAGTACAGTGGGAAGTACAGTGGGAAGTACAGTGGGAAGTACAGTGGGAAGTACAGTGGGAAGTACAGGGGTGAGCATGTTGTGGTTTGTAGAGGCATCCGCACTATGATGATGGCACCCTTCAGGAAAGACAGTGATTGAGTGAAAGTGTTTTCTACTTTGTCAGGTCACCATACCTCAGTGGGAGACAGCCAGAGTGAATAAATGTTGTATATATGATTGGCAATGAATATTAACGGTAAACAGATAAGATAAAAATGCATTTATGAAAAAGTTAACTGAAATTAGGTATAGAAAATATGGCTCAGGAACACAATCAATTTTACATTGTTTTTATTGGAGAAAAAGGTTCCAAGTACTGTATGTTTGCTTACGATGAATATTTGAGAACATACAAGCATCTTCAGTTGAGGCACTGTATTTCCTTTCCTTCAGAGACTAAGGAATTAGTTATTCTTGTTTTTTTACACTGCAGGTTCAGGAGAGAGTTTTACATTCCAAGAAGTCAATTTTCACAGTCAGTGCTGGTTCCTGACTCTACACGCACATCACTTGGGGGTGCTACCAGTGATGCGCAAATATACACGACGCATCCGAGCTATCCGTGACCTCCAGAAAATGGTAGGTGCTCCCCTTTATATTTTAAGTCAAGTTCATTTATTTTGTTGATCTAAAGCCAGCAAGCTTTCTTTAATATTATAGGTTACGGATAAGACAACTACAAATCCAAAATATTCAATTTCAATTCTGTATATTAAGATTTCAATTAAAAAAAATTTGATTTCACTTCAGTGCCATGTGAAAGGTGAAAAACCATCTGCATCTTGTACAAAATGTAGCTGATTGTTAAGGAAGAAGATTAAAGTCTTCCATTAGTTTTTGAATATATAGCCTAACAGTGAATGAAGCAGCTATGAGTTGAGGGAGTTGGAAATGAATATAGATAAGTCTGAGGAAGAGCCTGGTTGAGTAGGTAAGTACCAGACAAAACTGGTTCATGGTCAGACTCTGGCAGTAGAAAAACCTTCATTGGTCATTAAAGGTATAACCAAGTTAAAGGTATTTGGTGGAACTGAGAATAAGAGGCATGAAGATACTGTTGACTGATCAGTTGGGTGCTAGTGAAGGGTTCTTGATCAGGGTAACTGGAGCTACCCTTCCCTTCCTTGGATCAAGTGTGATTATCTCTCATTACTCAGGCGCTGTGTAATTCTTATGGGTTTTTTTACTTTTTCATTAATATAATAATAAATTAAGGTGACAAGTACATTAGAGTTATCAACTTTAGGCTGACAAAGTTAGAAGAGGGCACCAGGGAACTTCAGGAATGTTATTTTGAAGTACGAAATCAGCAAAGCAAAACAGTAGAACAAAAAACTTTGAGGCAAGAGATGTAACACGAATGTATGTAAAGATTATTTAGCTAAGAGGATTACAGCAGAATGGAAATAATTACTCACTGAAGCAGTAATTCTGTTATGTTGAGGTAAAAAAAATGGGAGACGCATTTGAAAGTGGATGAGATACGAGGTGGAGAATGGTTGTGTAAGTTGAACTTGCTTAGTATGAACCAGTAGGCCTCCTGTAGTGCTTATTTTGTTCTTATGTTTCTTTTATCTTGACAGTACCTGTAATTTAAGGAGGCAAATTGTCTTCTGCAGGTTGAGGAGATTGAGAGTACAGAATCTCACTGGGGCAGCCTGCCAGTAGCAGCTAGACAGAGGGAGCTCCTCAAGAAGTGGAAAACACAACTTAAGGTTGGTGGAAATCAATGAGTCCTCCTTCACAGGAGGATGAGATAGATAAAGGAAGAAGTTGGACACAGGAATATAATAGTAACTCTTGTGTTGGTGTATTGTTCATTCAGCCTGACTTTGCTAGTTATTCATTTTCCTTCATTACTCTTGTGTGTGAGCTTTCACTGACAGTATGCTCTTGCCAACCTTGCTCATTCTCTGGAATATTTTGTGCATCATACAGGTATGTCACTAGTATTATATTAACTCTTAGTTCCATGCCCTTTACTCACAGATTTAGCTCATTCTCTCCTTTTAATTTGTATCCCTGATTTTAGATATGCCGCTGTCACTTAACTCTGAAGGCAACACTTTATTTTAGATTATAAATTTAATTAAAGCAGAAGTAAATGGGACTTTTCAGAAACTAAATAAATCAAAAGTGTGCGCTGACGCGGGACTCTTGGATGAGAGCCTGTTGGAGCGCTGCCTACACTTCTACGCTGGAGTGGCACAGATCATTCTACGAGCACTAAGTGGAGGACCAACCACCTTGGCTCCTCTAGGAGCATCACTCGCTGACACTGCTTCGATACTTCCACTCCCGCCAGACTTGCCTGAGCTCTTTGCTGCATTTCCCGAATGGTACTTGGACGACATGGCAGAATTTTTACTTTTTACCCTGCAGTAAGTAAATCCATGCTGGTTTAGTGCTTCCATTTTCTGTTTTTGAACTGTAGTATCGGCACCCTTCTGGCAAGACTGATGAAGTGAGTTATGATGAAAGTGTTTCTTCTTTTTCGAGTCCCCTTGCCTTGGTGGGAAATGCCTGCACTCTAAAGGGGGGGGTTTGAGATATTGGCTGTTTGGAGTGACTGTCATATGTGGGCACCTCTACAAGGACAATGATTATGTGTGAATGATGGTGAAAGTGTTAGGTAAGACACATATGCAACAGTTAGGTATCTTTATTTTGAAACGTTTCGCCTACACAGTAGGCTTCTTCAGTCGAGTACAGAAAAGTTGATAGAAGCAGAAGATACTTGAAGACGATGTAATCAGTCCATCACCCTTAAAGTTTTGAGGTGGTCAGTCCCTCAGTCTGGAGAAGAGCATTGTTCCGTTGTCTGAAACAATATGAAGTTGAAGTGACAGAATCGGGCCTTATATAGTGCCAGGAGGTGAGACGTAGGTTGATTTGGGAGGGCAGGTCCCTCTCAAACCCAGCCGTTCTCACTAGTAGAGGTTGTCGAAGTAGATGGTCTGTACCAAGATACCCTTGTGTTGCAGTGTCTGACAGAATGAACATTAAAATGGTATAAAATACCGACAGATTGTTAGGTAAGACACATATGCAACAGTTAGGTATCTTTATTTTGAAACGTTTCGCCTACACAGTAGGCTTCTTCAGTCGAGTACAGAAAAGTTGATAGAAGCAGAAGATACTTGAAGAAGATACCTAACTGTTGCATATGTGTCTTACCTAACAATCTGTCGGTATTTTATACCATTTTAATGTTCATTCTGTCAGACACTGCAACACAAGGGTATCTTGGTACAGACCATCTACTTCGACAACCTCTACTAGTGAGAACGGCTGGGTTTGAGAGGGACCTGCCCTCCCAAATCAACCTACGTCTCACCTCCTGGCACTATATAAGGCCCGATTCTGTCACTTCAACTTCATATTGTTTCAGACAACGGAACAATGCTCTTCTCCAGACTGAGGGACTGACCACCTCAAAACTTTAAGGGTGATGGACTGATTACATCGTCTTCAAGTATCTTCTGCTTCTATCAACTTTTCTGTACTCGACTGAAGAAGCCTACTGTGTAGGCGAAATGTTTCAAAATAAAGATACCTAACTGTTGCATATGTGTCTTACCTAACAATCTGTCGGTATTTTATACCATTTTAATGTTCACGATGGTGAAAGTGTTGAATGATGGTGAAATTTTTTTTTTTTTTTTTTTTTTTGTCAACCTGCCTCAGTAGGAGATGGTCAGCATGTTGAAAAAAAGTATACAATTATGTACTAGTTTTAAACAAATGTGGATATTTAACTTAAAATTTAGTATAATATTTTGATTTTTTGCCTTAGCTCTTATTTACCAATATGAACAAGTATACAAGTATGTATACATTACAGTAATGGTTAGTATCAACAAGGTGTTGACAAGAATCATGTACAATACCTATTTAACTTTATTGCCAATATTAATGTTTAGTTTTGTATCTTAATTTTCATTTACCTATTTTTTGTCATTTGATCCTACATTAAAAAGCCATTGCATTAGATTACTAAAACATCATTTTAGTTAATCGATATTTATTCCATTTATCTCCATAAGCGTAGCGTACCACACTACCAAATGTAGTTATTTTATTTTTCTTGGTTTTATTATGGCTCGTGGTATGTACATTACAATTACTGTATAAGCATCTTGCCTGGCCAGATATGTACCCAAAGTGCCCATCAAACACCTGGAGGATCCCATCATTACCATGGCCATTGTCTTGCTGTGCTCCCCATCACACATCAAGAACCCCTACCTCACAGCCAAACTGGTTGAGGTAAGTGTCTCTAGAATGAACTCAATTTGAGTCATAAAGAATGGCTGTTGATGAATGAAGAGAAAGGTGGACGGGAGGCTTGAATTGTGGTCTGGAGATAGACAGGTCCAGCTCAGTAGCTCAGTGGTCCGGAGATTAACAGGTTCAGGCCAATAGCCCACTGGTAAAGCACTGGATCTGTTAATCTCAGGACCACGGTTCAAGCCTCCAGTCCACATTTCTGTTTATTCATCTTATAGAATGTTGAGCCTAGGATAGTAACATAAGGGCATAGATAACTCATTAGGCACATGTATCCATGTACAATCAACGCTGAAACTTTTATTGTTTGTTTATTTTATCATTGTTTTCATTGTGTACATTTTTTCATTGTTATGAGCTGGCATGTTGAAAAAAAAAAAGTGCCGTAAATGCCTCATCTATCACTGAAATCAACATTTTGGTGACCCTCTTCTCCTGTATAAATTACTAATTTTTTTTTTTTCATCAAACCGGCCATATCCCACCGAGGCAGGGTGGCCCAAAAAGAAAAACAAAAAGTTTTCTTTTCAAATTTAGTAATTTATACAGGAGAAGGGGTTACTAGCCCCTTGCTCCCGGCATTTTAGTCGCCTCTTACGACACGCATGGCTTACGGAGGAAAGATTCTTTTCCACTTCCCCATGGACAATAGAAGAAATAAAGAAGAACAAGAGCTATTTAGAAAAAGGAGAAAAACCTAGATGTATGTATATATATATGCATGTGCGTGTCTGTGAAGTGTGACCAAAGTGTAAGTAGGAGTAGCAAGATATCCCTGTTATCTAGCGTGTTTATGAGACAGAAAAAGAAACCAGCAATCCTACCATCATTCAAAACAGTTACAGGTTTCTGTTTCACAGTCATCTGGCAGGACGGTAGTACTTCCCTGGGTGGTTGCTGTCTACCAACCTACTACCTATAAATATAAGATGAAAAACTTTCATTTCTTCTTTAGGTCACCCTGTCTTAGTGGGAGATTGCTGCTGTATTAAACAATTAGAAAAATTTGTCAGTGGAATGTAATTTTTAGGTAACATTGAGGTAGGGAGTTTTATAGGCAGGTTTGGGTTAATGGAGTCAAGGTCAGTGTAATTTGGGGATGGATTTTTTTTTTTTTAAGTTTCCTGTCTTCTTGCAGCATATTTATCCTCAAATTTTGTTTTGGTTAAAATTTTTTGCATTTCTAAGATTTTTATTTAATTTTTGACATTTCTAAGATTTTTATTTAATTTTTGTCATTTCTAAGATTTTTATTTAATTTTTTACATTTCTAAGATTTTTATTTCTTTCAAGTTTAGTCTGCCCTAGATGTGTTGGTGCTTTGTTCCAAGAGGCTCTGCAACTCTAGAATCTATAACTTGTACAAAATTGTGTCTGCATAATGAATTTTGTTTCAGATTTGGGCTCATTTTGTGTTCCATTATTATTCACATTGAGTGAAATCATAATTATTTTTCAATATATGTTACATGCTCCAACCCCCCAAAAATTAGCATCTCAAGAAACCCCATGAATAATCTAATTAATTTGTGGATTGTCCTGCATTAAAAAGTTTGATAATTGAATTCCACAAATTATGATCCTGATAAATTTTGGGAACTGGTGTACAGCATCTTCCCAAGAAAGTAAGAAACTGGATAAAGATTAAGGATTTTTTTTTTTTCTCAACAAGTCGGTCGTCTCCCACCGAGGCAGGGTGACCCAAAAAAGAAAGAAAATCCCCAAAAAGAATATACTTTCATCATCATTCAACACTTTCACCACACGCACACATTATCACTGCTTTTGCAGAGGTGCTCAGAATACAACAGTTTAGAAGCATATACGTATAAAGATAAACAACATATCCCTCCAAACTGCCAATATCCCAAACCCCTCCTTTAAAGTGCAGGCATTGTACTTCCCATTTCCAGGACTCAAGTCCGACTATATGAAAATAACCGGTTTCCCTGAATCCCTTCACTAAATATTACCCTGCTCACACTCCAACAGATCGTCAGGTCCCAAGTATCATTCGTCTCCATTCACTCCTATCTAACACGCTCATGCACGCTTGCTGGAAGTCCAAGCCCTCTGCCCACAAAACCTCCTTTACCCCCTCTTTCCAACCCCTTTCGAGGACGACCCCTACCCCTCTTTCCTTCCCCATAGATTTATATGCTTTCCATGTCATTCTACTTTGATCCATTCTCTCTAAATGACCAAACCACCTCAACAACCCCTCTTCTGCCCTCTGACTAATGCTTTTATTAACTCCACACCTTCTCCTAATTTCCACACTCCGAATTTTCTGTATAATATTTACACCACACATTGCCCTTAGACAGGACATCTCCGCTGCCTCCAACCGTCTCCTCGCTGCTGCATTTACCACCCAAGCTCACATCCATATAAGAGTGTTGGTACTACTATACTTTCATACATTCCCTTCTTTGCCTCCATAGATAACGTTTTTTGACTCCACGTATACCTCAACGCACCACTCACCTTTTTTACCTCATCAATTCTATGATTAACCTCATCCTTCATAAATCCATCCGCCGACACGTCAACTCCCAAGTATCTGAAAACATTCACTTCTTCCATACTCCTCCTCCCCAATTTGATATCCAATTTTTCTTTATCTAAATCATTTGATACCCTCATCACCTTACTCTTTTCTATGTTCACTTTCAACTTTCTACCTTTACACACATTCTCAAACTCATCCACTAACCTTTGCAATTTTTCTTTAGAATCTCCCATAAGCACAGTATCATCAGCAAGAAGTAACTGTGTCAGTTCACATTTTGAATTTGATTCCCCATAATTTAATCCCACCCCTCTCCCGAACACCCTAGCATTTACTTCTTTTACAACCCCATCTATAAATATATTAAACAACCATGGTGACATTACACATCCCTGTCTAAGACCTACTTTTACCGGGAAGTATTCTCCCTCTCTTCTACACACCCTAACCTGAGCCTCACTATCCTCATAAAAGCTCTTTACAGCATTTAGTAACTTACCACCTATTCCATATACTTGCAACATCTGCCACATTGCTCCTCTATCCACTCTATCATATGCCTTTTCTAAATCCATAAATGCAATAAAAACTTCCCTACCTTTATCTAAATACTGTTCACATATATGCTTCAATGTAAACACTTGATCTACACATCCCCTACCCACTCTGAAGCCTCCTTGCTTATCTGCAATTCTACATTCTGTCTTACCTCTAATTCTTTCAATTATAACCCTACCATATACTTTTCCTGGTATACTCAGTAAACTTATTCCTCTATAATTTTTACAATCTCTTTTGTCCCCTTTCCCTTTATATAAAGGGACTATACATGCTCTCTGCCAATCCCTAGGTACCTTCCCCTCTTTCATACATTTATTAAACAAAAGTACCAACCACTCCAACATTATATCCCCCCCTGCTTTTAACATTTCTGTCATGATCCCATCAGTTCCAGCTGCTTTACCCCCTTTCATTCTACGTAATGCCTCACGTACCTCCACCACACTTACATTCTGCTCTTCTTCACTCCTAAAAGATGGTATACCTCCCTGGCCAGTGCATGAAATTACCTCCTCCCTTTCTTCCTCAACATTTAAAAGTTCCTCAAAATATTCTCGCCATCTACCTAATACCTCCCTCTGCCCATCTACTAACTCCCCTACTCTGTTTTTAACTGACAAATCCATACTTTCCCTAGGCTTTCTTAACTTGTTTAACTCACTCCAAAATTTTTCTTATTTTCATTAAAATTTCTTGACAGTGCCTCTCCCACTCTTTCATCTGCTCTCCTTTTGCACTCTCTCACCACTCTCTTCACCTTTCTTTTACTCTCCATATACTCTGCTCTTCTTATAACACTTCTGCTTTGTAAAAAGCTCTCGTAAGCTACCTTTTTCTCTTTTATCACACCCTTTACTTCATCATTCCACCAATCACTCCTCTTTCCTCCTGCCCTCACCCTCCTATAACCACAAACTTCTGCCCCACATTCTAATACTGCATTTTTAAAACTATTCCAACCCTCTTCAACCCCCCCACTACTCATGTTTGCACTAGCCCACCTTTCTGCCAATAGTCGCTTATATCTCGCCCGAACTTCTTCCTCCCTTAGTTTATACACTTTCACCTCCCTCTTACTTGTTGTTGCCACCTTCCTCTTTTCCCATCTACCTCTTACTCTAACTGTAGCTACAACTAAATAATGATCCGATATATCAGTTGCCCCTCTATAAACATGTACATCCTGGAGCCTACCCATCAACCTTTTATCCAGCAATACATAATCTAACAAACTACTTTCATTACGTGCTACATCATACCTTGTATATTTATTTATCCTCTTTTTCATAAAATATGTATTACTTATTACCAAATTTCTTTCTACACATAGCTCAATTAAAGGCTCCCCATTTACATTTGCTCCTGGCACCCCAAATTTACCTACTACTCCCTCCATAACATTTTTACCCACTTTAGCATTGAAATCCCCAACCACCATTACTCTCACACTTGATTCAAAACTCCCCACGCATTCACTCAACATTTCCCAGAATCTCTCTCTCTCCTCTACACTTCTCTCTTCTCCAGGTGCATACACGCTTACTATAACCCACTTTTCACATCCAATCTTTATTTTACTCCACATAATCCTTGAATTTATACATTTGTAGTTCCTCTTTTCCTGCCATAGCTTATCCTTCAACATTATTGCTACTCCTTCTTTAGCTCTAACTCTATTTGAAACCCCTGACCTAATCCCATTTATTCCTCTCCATTGAAACTCTCCCACCCCCTTCAGCTTTGTTTCACTTAAAGCCAGGACATCCAGTTTCTTCTCATTCATAACATCCTCAATCATCTCTTTCTTATAATCTGCACAACATCCACGCACATTCAGACTTCCCACTTTGACAATTTTCTTCTTATTCTTTTTAGTAATCTTTACAGGAAAAGGGGTTACTAGCCCATTGTTCCCGGCATTTTAGTTGACTTTTACAACACGCATGGCTTACGGAGGAAAGATTCTTATTCCTCTTCCCCATGGATATAAAAGGAAAAGTAATAAGACCAAGAACTATTAAGATAAAATCAAAGAAAACTCAGATGAGTGTGTATAAATAAATGTGTACATGTATGTGTAGTGTGACCTAAGTGTAAGTAGAAGTAGCAAGATGTACCTGTAATCTTGCATATTTATGAGACAGACAAAAGACACCAGCAATCCTACCATCTTGTAAAACAATTACAGGCTTTCGTTTTACACTCACTTGGCAGGACAGTAGTACCTCCCTGGGTGGTTGCTGTCTACCAACCTACTACCAAAAAATTAAGATTAGGGATGCAAAATATAAATTACTTTTTTTCTCAGGTAGTTGCCATTATATATTAAAATGATGCATTTTTGCTCTTTGTTGAAGTAATAAAGTGTTTAATAAGTACTAGTGACATCTTTACTACCATGATCTCTTGGCAGTGACTTCTTGTTGGTTGCTTAGTAACCAGCAAGATCGTGAACTTACCTGCTACCAGTCCTTACTTACCAACTTAATTAATAAAGATGTGCAGTTTTTTGATAGTTTTAGAGGAAGCATTAATGATGTATACTTGGACTGTAATAATAATAAAAGTTTAACATTTTGCCTCCAGATGATGTTCATGTTGACCCCGTCGGTGCAGCAGCATGTGGATAGTTTACACCATCGGATTCTTCATCATCCGTTAGCGGAGCATCTTCCAGTTGCCCTTATGAAATTCTACACAAGTGAGCTTTGACATGTGTAACAAATGTTTTTCTTCTTCTTTCAACAAACCGGCTGTATCCCACCGAGGCAGGGTGGCCTAAAAAAAAAAAAAAATTTCTCTTTTTAAATTTAGTAATTTATACAGAAGAAGGGGTTACTAGCCCCTTGCTCCCGGCATTTTAGTCGCCTCTTACAACACGCATGGCTTATGGAGGAAGAATTCTGTTCCACTTCCCCATGGAGATAAGAGGAAATAAACAAGAACAAGAACTAGAAAGAAAATAGCAGAAAACCCAGAGGGGTGTGTGTATATATATGCTTGTACATGTAGAAAAGGCATATGATAGAGTGGATAGGGGAGCAATGTGGCAGATGTTGCAAGTATATGGAATAGGTGGTAAGTTACTAAATGCTGTAAAGAGTTTCTATGAGGATAGTGAGGCTCAGGTTAGGGTGTGTAGAAGAGAGGGAGACTACTTCCCGGTAAAAGTAGGTCTTAGACAGGGATGTGTAATGTCACCATGGTTGTTTAATATATTTATATATGGGGTTGTAAAAGAAGTAAATGCTAGGGTGTTCGGGAGAGGGGTGGGATTAAATTATGGGGAATCAAATTCAAAATGGGAATTAACACAGTTACTTTTTGCTGATGATACTGTGCTTATGGGAGATACTAAAGAAAAATTGCAAAGGTTAGTGGATGAGTTTGGGAATGTGTGTAAAGGTAGAAAGTTGAAAGTGAACATAGAAAAGAGTAAGGTGATGAGGGTATCAAATGATTTAGATAAAGAAAAAGTGGATATCAAATTGGGGAGGAGGAGTATGGAAGAAGTGAATGTTTTCAGATACTTGGGAGTTGAAGTGTCGGTGGATGGATTTATGAAGGATGAGGTTAATCATAGAATTGATGAGGGAAAAAAGGTGAGTGGTGCATTGAGATATATGTGGAGTCAAAAAACGTTATCTATGGAGGCAAAGAAGGGAATGTGTGAAAGTATCGTAGTACCAACACTCTTACATGGGTGTGAAGCTTGGGTGGTAAATGCAGCAGCGAGGAGACGGTTGGAGGCAGTGGAGATGTCCTGTTTAAGGGCAATGTGTGGTGTAAATATTATGCAGAAAATTCGGAGTGTGGAAATTAAGAAAAGGTGTGGAGTTAATAAAAGTATTAGTCAGAGGGGAGAAGAGGGGTTGTTGAGGTGGTTTGGTCATTTAGAGAGAATGGATCAAAGTAGAATGACATGGAAAACATATAAATCTATAGGGAAAGGAAGGAGAGGTAGGGGTCGTCCTCGAAAGGGTTGGAGAGAGGGGCTAAAGGAGGTTTTGTGGGCAAGGGGCTTGGACTTCCAGCAAGCGTGCATGAGCGTGTTAGATAGGAGTGAATGGAGACGAATGATACCTGGGACCTGACGATCTGTTGGAGTGTGAGCAGGGTAATGTTTAGTGAAGGGATTCAGGGAAACCGGTTATTTTCATATAGTCGGACTTGAGTCCTGGAAATGGGAAGTACAATACCTACACTTTAAAGGAGGGGTTTGGGATATTGGCAGTTTGGAGGGATATGTTGTGTATCTTTATACATATATGCTTCTAAACTGTTGTATTCTGAGCACCTCTGCAAAAACAGTGATTATGTGTGAGTGTGGTGAAAGTGTTGAATGATGATGAAAGCATTTTCTTTTTGGGGATTTTCTTTCTTTTTTGGGTCACCCTGCCTCGGTGGGAGACGGCCGACTTGTTGAAAAAAAAAAAAATGTATGTGTAGTGTGACCTAAGTGTAAGTAGAAGTAGCAAGACGTACCTGAAATCTTGCATGTTTATGATACAGAAAAAAGGACACCAGCAATCCTACCATCATGTAAAACAATTACAGGTTTCCGTTTTACACTCACTTGGCAGGATGGTAGTACCTCCCTGGGCGGTTGCTGTTTACCAACCTACTACCTAGGAATAAATGTTTTTATTTATGATTAATATTATTGCCTTTTTATTACCACAAGAGCTGTCTTGCATCAAGGTTGGTCAGTACAAACAAGGAACTCTTCATTATCATTTATTATCATTTTATTCATAATAGCTGTCTTGCTAAAAGTGTTCAGACATCACAATTCAAATGACCCTTGAAGCTGCAATATCCCCAGTCCTTCAGAGTGCATCTACTGTACTTCCCACCTCCAGGACTGTAACATCCCCACCCCACCATCAGAGTGAAGGCACTGTACTTCCCACCTCCAGGACTGTAACATCCCCACCCCACCATCAGAGTGCAGGCACTGTACTTCCCACCTCCAGGGCTGTAACATCCCCACCCCACCATCAGAGTGCAGGCACTGTACTTCCCACCTCCAGGACTGTAACATCCCCACCCCACCATCAGAGTGCAGGCACTGTACTTCCCACCTCCAGGACTGTAACAGTACCTGCTTCAAGCAGTAATGAAAAAAATCATTAAGGGGTTTAATTCCAACATGATTTTTCCCAGTGTTGTAGGCAAGGGATTTCAGCAGTTAGAATTTAACAAAATTATGAATTTTATGACTTGCTCGTATTTTAATCCTCTGATATAAATGTTATGTAGTTAGTTATTTGAGCTTACCAGGGAAAAGGTGTTTGTAAGCTCTAGCTCATGGTCCCACCTCTCAACTATGGGCTGACTGACATGATTCAGTTTTGTCATGTACTCTTGATCCCTTGTACTATATTTGTTGTTCCATGGGATTTTTGACTGCCATTATTATTTTTAACACTAGTTTGGCCACTCTGTGCCTTAAAACCTTTAATTTTATTTTTATCTATTATGTTTTAAAATTGAAGTTGATATTAACACTGTGTTAAACATTTATTAACAGTGGTGGAGTCAACGGGAGCGAGCAGCGAGTTCTATGACAAATTTACGATACGATATCATATTAGTGTGATATTCAAGAGTCTTTGGGAAGACAGACGTCACCGACAAGCTCTTATTACTGAATCCAAGTAAGTGTATCTTACCTCCAAGTGTATTTTACCTCCAAGTAAGTGTATTTTACCTCCATGTAAGTGTATTTTACCTCTGAGTAAGTGTATTTTACCTCCACTGTTTTTTATTGTATGGGTTGGGTTCTCACTAATTATTACTGGTGGAAGATGGCCCATGTGTCACACTTCTCTACTGCACATACCATAATTTTAACAAGAATCTGTTTCATATGCATGATTGTTTGAGGAGATGCCAGTGAGAGGGCTCTTGATCCAAGGATTTGGACCTACCCTCCTCTTCCTTAGAATGAATCTGAATGCTTCCCATTTCCACATGAGTACTGTATGGCTTTAAGAAGGCTGTCTAAACTTTATTTTTTTAACAAAACTGCAAAGGGTGTGATATGTAGACTACTTATTTGTGTATATTATGTAACACACTAAACCCATATGGTCATTCACTGTGCATGTGATGGCCAATAGTTTTGTCATCACATAGTAAATGTATATTTTGTTATTACATTAGGTATTGACCAAATGTTAATACTCCTCTATCTTTCAGCTCAGGAAAAGAATTTGTAAAGTTTGTTAATCTTCTTATGAATGACACCACCTTCCTGCTGGATGAGTCTCTGGATGCCCTCAAGGTGAGTCCATCCATCACCTGCATGATGCTCTTCCTTGTTTGGTTAAATAGTTGCCCCTAATTAATCCAAATTTGTTGAGACCAAGAGCTTTCCAATTAGCAGTTTTTTGATCAAGTGGAGGAGTGACTTAGCTTTTTGGAGCATAATTAGTCCCATTCAGTAATGAACTATTTATCACACTTAAAACTATAGAAAATTGTGTTTACCAGAAAATGTTTTATGTATCCATAAACATTTCAGCCTTTGTAAGACTCTAGGTTTATCAACATTGTGCATTTCTCTTTTAAATTATTACTTTGTATTTCTGAAGAAAAGTCTAAGATAGACATCTACCCCACTCCTCAAGGGAGGCTCCTTGATACTAGTGAGAGGCTCTAGTTCAAGGAATTAGACCTGCCCTCCTCTTCTTTGGATCAAACCCAAATGCCTCTCATTCCCCAAGGTGTTATATGACCAGTACGGGCTTAATGCTTCCCAATAAATGTAATAATTAGTAATATACAGTGGGTGTGTAAATTTTGTATATGTTTTGATAGCCTATTAACATCTGTCTTCAAGTACTTAATTTATTGCCTTCAACTTGAAGTTTTGGAGCTAGTAATGCTGCATAAGACTTTTGCAGAAGAACTCTAAAACGAAAATGGAAATAAAGACATTTCTATTTTCTAGCATTACAATGTTCATTTTTTTGTTATAGTATTGAAAGTACAGAAGGTTAAGTAAGCAGCTGTAGCAGAGTTCATGTCTTGGACATGATCACTACATTTTGACTTCAGTTTTGTATTGTTGGGTTGACAGCGTATTCATGAGGTGCAAGAGGAAATGGAGAGAGGAACTTGGGCAACGCAGTCCCGGGAGCAGCAGCAGAGTCGACAGAGATTGCTAGCCACTGATGAGAGACAGTGCAGGTGAGAATTAGTATTAATTCTTGAAAAAAAAAATTATTAACACATCGGCCTTCTCCCACCAAGGTAGAGTGGCCTGAGAAAGAAAAACTCATCTTCATTCACTCCATCGCTGTCTTGCCAGAGGTGTGCTTGCACTACAGATATAAAACTGCAGCATTAACACCCCTCCTTCTGAGTGCAGACACTGTACTGGGAAATATTACATTGTATGTTAATACACTACATTCTCTTGCTTCAGAAAGATATCTGTATTTGATAATAGATGATATAGAATATAAAAGAATAGATGATATAGAATATAAAAGAGTTTAATTCATTTCAGTGATTTTAATGTTGAGTCCTGTGGCTGCCAGACTTCGGTTTACCAGCCTGATGGTTTCTATAATTTTGTGTTTCATTCAAGTAGACTTTCTTGATTCATCTAAATATATTTACTCCTGCCTTTCCATAAGTTTTAAAACATTACATATTTTATATGATTTGGCTTATTTTTGCAGTTTTGTCAGAATGATCTTATTTTTGGTTTTATCAAAATGATTTAAGGTAGGGCTTATTTCTTTTAATTTTGTAGGAATGACCTAGGGCTTATTTTCATGTTATTTTTACTTTTGTTGTACAGGTTCACCATCACTAATCCGGCATCATCGGGACCTGTAGGGTGCTGGACTAGTGATTTTGCTGGCAGTATTTACGCATCGGCGATTTCACCCACTTACGCCCTATTTTTGACCCATTCCATTGTTCCAGTCTACCAAACCTGTAGCTATTTCACTAGTATTCCTTCTATTCTATTGATTGAGTACAGGATACTGCCCATTTACCTATTTCAACTACCCAGTAAAGTGGTCAGAGATTGGTAATTTGGCCAATTTCACACAAATTTCAAGAGATGCCAGTTTCAAAATAGGGTCCAGAATAAACAATGCAAACATTCCTGGCACTAAAATAACATTTTCTCTGTTCATCAGTTACATCTCCAGGTCCCTCTTATATTATGCTTGCTTTCCATTTTGAATTTTTATTCACTCAAAAAAATAGAAGATTGACTGTTATACAGACTACTGCATTATTGTAATAAATAATGTATAAATAATGTATAAATAATGTCACCCTATTTGTGACTGCATATTAGACCAGCCAGTTGGACATGTATTGGATGATGACGTCATTTGTTTACTCTTGAACATCGGTAAAAAATGAACATTTCTGTTACTTTGAGTTCAATTTTAAGGTACTTTCTGGTGTGAAACCAGTCAAAATTATATCTATTCCTGTAATATATCTTCCATTCTATCGAATGAGACCAAAAAACGAGAATACAACCATGTAAACCATACGAATATACACCGCAAAGTCGCCGTTTTTTTTCTCATTATGCATTGTGTGCTGCAGGATTTTTTTATATAGTGCACACTTACCACACAGACTTATTCTCTCATATGTAGGCCCAAATTTACCGGTCACAGATTATCTGAGTGAGCTGAGCTCATGGTGACCGACAATGGCTTCAAAGCTACCTTATCTTTTATGGACAATGTATGGTGTATGTGCTTTACGCAACGAGAAGCATTTCTTTTATTCATTGGAACCATGGCTAGGGCTAAAAGTGAGCACGTTATAACAAACTGAGAAAAAGAAATTTGAACGACTTAATGCAGCAAGTAGCGCCACCTAGGAGTAGTGGCAGGTTGGTGTGGCAACACTGAAAATTTTAAGTTATGCTAGCTGAAATTAGTGCTGGATTACTGATGGAACCGGATTACTGATTGCCAGATTAGTGATGGCCAACTTATACTGTCAACAATCCTCACTTTGTCTTACAAATTTCACAGGTCATACCTAACTTTAGCAAGAGAAACTGTCGACATGATGCATTACTTAACAAAAGAAGTTCCCGCCCCGTTCTTGAGGCCAGAGCTGTGTGACAGGCTAGCAGCCATGCTCAACTTTAACCTTGCCCAGCTCTGTGGCCAGAAATGTGAGTACCAGTGACTGGAATATCAGTGAATGGAATATATTTCAGTGAATGTAATATATTTCATTGAATGGAATACACCTACCATCTGACTTACGACCGAGTTCGGTTCTGAGAAACCGGTCGTAAGTCGAAATGGTCGTAAGTCGAACTTTACTACTGAATATCAACAAAACATTTTTGTAATGACTTTATTTTATTGTTATATTTTGGTATTTCATGTTTTACTTTACTTTTTATGTTGTTAGTACTGTATTTTATACTGTAAGGTTTAGGATAAACACTGTGTACAACACAAATAGTTGTTTATTTCCCAGAAATTTGGCATAAAAAACACGGTCGTAAGTCGAGCGGTCGTAAGTTGAGCAGGTCGTAAGTCGGATGGTAGGTGTATCAGTGAATGGAATATATTTCAGTGAATGTAATATATTTCATTGAATGAAATATCTGTGAATGGAATATATTTCAGTGAATGTAATATATTTCACTGAATGAAATATCAGTGAGTGAAATTTCAGCATATGGAATATATTTCAAATTCAAATTCATATTTTTATTTCTTTATATGCTGTACAAAGATAGTTTAGTTTTCATATAATGAAACATTGCTAGGCATGAAAGAAAGCCACTAGCATGCAAATGCACTTTGGAGAGAGACATGAAATGCAAACACTAGAACGTGTTTATTGGCAGTGTTTTGGTTCTGAAGTTTTAGTCACTCGAAATATGGGACCAAGGTTGCAGGACCAGAAACTTCCTAATTAACATGTCCTAGTGATTGCATTTTGTGTCTTTCTCCACTACTTGTCACTGTCAGTATACCTTTTTTTTTTTTCTTAATGAACTGGCTGTATCCCACCGAGGCACGGCTACCTAAAAAAGAAAAACAAAAATTTTTCCTTTTAAATCTAGTAATTTATACAGAAGAAGGGGTTACTAGCCCCTTGCTCCCGGCATTTTGGTCGCCTCTTTTGACATGCATGGCTTACAGAGGAATAATTATGTTCCACTTCCCAATGGTGATTCATGTCATCAGAGTCCATGCTGCTTTTAGATTTGCATTAAAATTTTCTGGGAACTGTAATATATAATACAATTTTGTTTATTTCCCATAGGTGGTAACTTGAAGGTGAGACAAGCGGACAAGTATGGCTGGGAGCCGCGCAAACTCCTAGAGCAGCTGGTCGACATTTACTTGCACCTCGACTCCACCAGATTTTATGAGTCTATAGCTAATGATGAGGTTGGTCATATCATTTTTGTTCAGTTTTATTTTTTAAACTAACAGGCCTTCTCCCTCCAAGGATGGCCTAAATAAGAAGAAACACTTTCACCATTCACTCCATCACTGACTTGCCAGAGGCACAATGATATTGCAGTTCAGATGACACTCCTTTAGTGTGCAGGCACTGTGCTTCCCACCTCCAGGACTCAAGTCCGGCTAACTGGTTTCTCTGAATCCCTTCATAAGTGTTATCTCCTTGCACGTCGGCAGTATATGACCTGCGATCACCTTCCTTAGATCAAACCTGAATGTTTCTCATTCTTGCCAAGTGAGTGTAAAACAAAAGCCTGTCATTGTTTTACATGATGGTAGGATTGCTGGTGTCTTTTTTTCTGTCTCATAAACATGCGAGATTTCAGGTACATCTTGCTACTTCTACTTACACTTAGGTCACACTACACATGCTTGTACAAGCATATATATATACATACCCATCTGGGTTTTCTTCTATTTAGTTACTAGTTCTTGTTCTTGTTTATTTCCTCTTATCTCCATGGGGAAGTGGAACAGAATTCTTCCTCCGTAAGCCATGCATGTCATAAGAGGCGACTAAAATGCCAGGAGCAGGGGGCTAGTAACCCCTTCTCCTGTATAAATTACTAAATTTAAAAAGAGAAACTTTTGTTTTTCTTTTTGGGCCACCCTGCCTCGGTGGGATACGGCTGATTTGTTGAAAAAAAAAAAAGGAAGATTTCAGGTACATCTTGCTACTTCTACTTACACTTAGGTCACACTACACATGCATGTACAAGCATATATATACATACCCATCTGGGTTTTCTTCTATTTAGTTACTACTTCTTGTTCTTGTTTATTTCCTCTTTATCTCCATGGGGAAGTGGAATAGAATTCTTCCTCCCTAAGCCATGCGTGTCATAAGAGGCGACTAAAATGCCGGGAGCAAGGGGCTAGTAACCCCTTCTCCTGTATATATTACTAAATGTGAAAGGAGAAACTTTTGTTTTTCCTTTTGGGCCACCCCGCCTCAGTGGGATTCGGCCGGTGTGTTGAAAGAAAGAAAAAGTTTCTCATTCCACCTTGTCATTCTATTTTGCTCCAGCCTTTAAATGTTCAAACCACTTCAACAACCCCTCTTCAGCCTGCTAAATAATACTTTTAGTAATCCCACACCTCCTAATCTCCAAAGTATGAATTCTCTGTATAATAGTACCACATATTGCCCTCAGACACGGCATCTCTACTGCCTCCAGCCTCCACCTTGCTGCAACATTCACAGCGCATGCTTCACACCCATATAAAGAATGTTGGTACTACTGTACTCTGGTATATTCCACTTTCTGCCTCCATGATAAAGTTCTTTGTCTCCAAGGTGCCTTGGTGTACCACCCACCATTTTCCCCCCTTGTCAAAATAGCCTCTATTTTTTTAATTGTAGATCTTTTTCTTTAGACGTTGTCTGTGCCTATATTAGGTCCTGTGCTGGGACCAGTCACCCACAGAGCTGACAATATGATGATTTTAAAACTAGCGCTATTACATCCGTTTTTGTGTTTATTCGTTGACAGTCGTTAATTATGACTTATCTTGAATTTATGGACTAAATTCAAAGATACATATTTTTCATACTAAATTTTGGTTATACTGTACTGTGCTTATCTTTTCAGAGATCATTCAAGAGAGAATTATTTGAAACAGCAGCATCCAAACTTGAGCGAGCCGTCATCAAGTGCAGCTCCGAAGTTGCAAAATTCAGAAGTATAGGGCAAAAGGCATATGATGTGCAACAAGCCAATCAGAAGAAGGATGAGGATTACAGTGATGCACCTGATCACTTTATGGGTAAGTACTCTGGGGTGGATTACCCTCTGCAAGTTTGTATGTCATGTAGAGGAGTGGAGACAAACTCTGATAGCCAGCTACAGTTACATGTTGCCCTAAAAAGAATAATTTTTTATTTTTTTATTTTAACACACTGGCCATCTCCCACCAAGGCAGGGAGACTTGACAAAGAAACACTTCCACCATCATTCACACTAGCACTGTCTTGCCAGAGGTGCACAGATACGACATTTCAGATAAATTATTATTCTTTTTACTATAATCATGGGGATGTGCTGAACCTGTAGGGATCATGCTGGTTTGATCCAGTAAAGGGAAGAATCCAGTGGATGGTAGCTGCTAATTTATTGTGCACCCCATATTCATCCTGTGAGTGATAGTGGCTAGTTTATTGTGTGTCTCATATCCATCCTGTGGATGCTAGTGCAAGAGCATATGGATACACAAAAGGCCTAGGAACTAGGCCCCATAAGGGTTTACAGAGGTGCATCTGGATTTATATCTTCATATCTTCAGTTGAGTTATCTGTTGAATCAAACTTAGGATTTGCTTAATATATCTGGTATCTTATTTTCATTAATAAGACATCTTGACATATCACATAGGTTATTATACTGTCTATCTCTATGTTCCAACTATAGTGAAGTCCATAGCCTACATAATTTTTCTTTTCAGATCCTTTAATGCAAACTTTAATGGAAGATCCTGTGGAACTGCCTTCAGGAGTGGTGATGGACAGACCCACCATTGTGAGGCATCTACTGAACGATCCCACTGATCCCTTCACTCGCCAGCCTCTCACTGAAGAACAACTCCTTCCAGGTTAGTCAAAGACAGTAAACCACTACAAATAACCTGTACTTGGGAGAGCAAACTTTGGTTGAGGAGTGTCTCCAGGACCATTGTCTAGACCTGCGTCAGGAAACACTTGTCTTGTTTCCTGACAGACCTTACCTAACCTAACTGACTGGCACTTGTGACTTTAAAGTGGCCTTAAAAATCATAAATATAAAATGTAAAATCACTGAGTAATCTCTCTAACAAACGTGAACTTTCTCCATGAATAATATAGACTGAGTATGAATTCATTTTAGTAAAAGAAAAGAAAGGAAAAAAATAATTCTTTTAGTTTAGCCTTGAGAAAATCTTAAATATTTAAATCTGTTGTTTATCATTAGTCACTATTGAAAAAATGTAAGCTCTCTGCACATATATAAAATGAACATTAACAAAATATTAATGCATCTAGTAAAAGAAAGAGTTTTGTTCTAAATAGTTTGCATATTTACAATGTTTGTGAGTGCAAATTTAGAATTCACAGTGGAATTGTCATCAAATTTGTGACACATCATAAGTTGGGATGTAGTAAGCCAGGGTTCTGCTGAATGCATTCAATTTCCCAACTGATATTCAAAGTAGGAAAAATAAATATTACAGTGTAATCATGTCTTCTTTTTTTTTCAGCTGAGGCACTGAAGAAAGAGATAAATGATTGGATTGCAGCTAAGAGTAACCCCAATAGTGCATCTTGAGGGCAGGATGGCAATAGCTGGACTTTTTGTTCGTGTTGTGGTGTTCAGGTCAGCTGACCATTCATCACCCTAGCAAATGGGTGTGAGTGTACTGTCTGAATGGAAGACTGTTGTGTGGATGTCAGGTGCATATTACTGTAAGCTGAAGAATGGCTGCTCTTGCCTCTGTAGGGCTAAGTAGATTGTAAATGTATGGGTGTGTCTGCCTTCCACCGTTTTAAATAATGTGCAATTTTCATATGGCTTGAAATGAGGAGGAAAGATGCAGTAGGTTGATATTGAAATGTAATGTCACTCCTTGAATATCATGGTACTACTGATTATGTAAATAAATTATATTAGCATTTTAAACACAATTATTGGTTCTTACTCAAATTTTTTCCAGTAAATTAAACATAATTTTAAAGCTTTTGTCACTAAGTTCAAAAATGTATTTTATAAATTTGCATTAGCTTAAATGTATTTTATGAAACAGTGGCAGCATATTGTGTGAAGTGATGAAAGGTAATCAAGACTGTGTGGAATATGTAGGGATGGAGAAAAGCTCCTATGTAGCTTTATCATCAGGTGTAGCCATTGCTGTTCCTCATCTCAGTTAAGCTCATCATAAAATCAGTCTTGCATTATGTACATTTTCCACTTTAGTTATTTAAAGAGTATGTTTTGTTACTGTCTCAGTATATTAGTATATGCTCTGGTGGTGCAGCTTGACCATTGACTTCTCTCATCTCCATGAAAATTTGGTTAGGCCAGTTTGTAGGCCTAGTACATGTGGTCTGTGGGGCGGGCTGCCAGACCTTGATATAATTATGTCCTTACACTGGAAATATGCAAATTTGTTGCTGCCTGGTCTGAGACCAGGTCATAGGGATACGTTCCCCAGAATCATTGATACATAACTAACACGTACAGGTATTCATCTGGATGTGAACAATTTTTAATTTATCTTAATTTTCTTTCTGATGGACTATGAACTATGACTTGATACCATATTTTCTGGCATATAAAGCCCTCCTTTTTTCCCACAAAGAAGTCTTGGAAAATCAGCCTGCACCTTATATGCTCAAGGTCAGAGTCAAGGGTAGGCTTTGGGCTATGCTTTAGCATAAAGTAAGAGGGCAATTAACCCTTGAATATCAGCACTGATTTACCGTTATGATACTTCTGTCGTGTGCCTTATGTGCCAGAAAATACGGTAATCAGTTGGCAAAGGCTGTTGAGAGTTTCAGCAAGTTAGCTGTTGGGCTCCATAGTGAGTTTGAGAACAGTAGTTAAAAGCAGTGTGTTTATCTCTTCATTAAATAATTCATTGCTCACCTAGTTGAGTTAACTCACTTGTGGATTCAAGTGTGTGGTAAGGGAGGACAAAGAGGTCAGTGGCACTAAAAAATAAATAAAAAAGACACAAAAATCTTTGTGTTTGTACAGTAAATATTTTATTTGGTCAATAAAGTTTGATCTTTCTTACTTGGAAAAAGTAGCCATTTGTAAAATAGTGACTTTCACTATCATTTTTACATTTTTTCACTCGTGGGGAAAGCTTCCGGGTCAAGTACTTGACCAGTTTGGGGCTTAGCTCAACTTAGGGACAGGTGCAGCTGGAGAGTTCTAGGTGGTGCCTAGGTAGAAACAAAGAGCCTTAGGCCTCAGGTGGCTCCTAGTTGGTACTCAGGTGGCACTAGTTTTTAACCAAGTCTTGGCATGCTGGCATTGTGAGGTAAAAGGTGGTAATCAAGGTGCTAAGTGGAGCTTTGAGTGGGAACTCTTCGTTGAACTTGGCCCATTGTGTACTCAATGTAGACACTTCAGAAAGACATGACAGATACACGAATGACTCACAAAATCGTACTAACACGATTGCAAATAAATCACTGAACGAGTGAGGCTCGAACCCATAGCGAGTCCTGAAATTCACAGGCCAGTGCGTTAGCCACTGGCCATGGATTCAAATACCCACTCATTCTATGATTTGGTATATGAATGAATTGTAGTGTTTCATAATATATATGACTGAATCATAAGGTTATGTTTTTTATTTTTCTCTTTCAAATTAAAAAGTCACATCCTGCATGGGAACACAGTATATGTAATAAAAGGTATACCAAGAGTGGGTTTACATTTTTTAGACAAGCTGGTATACATAATGGATTGTCTATTGGCCAGAAAGTAGGTAAAAGACACGTATGCACAGATCAAACCATTAAGGAAATCTTTTGTCACAAATGTTTTCATGCAAAGTCATTTGTGATGACATGTTTTTTTAATAAATGTCCTGCTCACTGGAAATGTGTCTCTTACAACTTGACAGGTTCACCATACCAGTTCCATCAACCAAAAAAAATAGTGTGGTTTAATATGTCTTATGTATAAGACTTTAACCATAGTCACAACACTATGGCTGGAAAATTCGTAACTAAATCACAAATTTGAGTTGTACCACATTTTGATCAGAGCGGATCATTACCCTAAATTATGGTCCAGGACCGACCAGATTGTTCGAGGTTTCTCCTTCAGCTTGTGGATTAGTTATGAAGATTGATGGTCACTTGGGTGATCCTGGTCAACCAACCGTGTGTTGGTTGTTCAGCCATCATGGTTGTGGGATGTGCTGTTGTACCATGTAGTGGATGTGGATCGTGCAGTAATATCTGGGTCCCTGACTTGCCAATTCCCTGCCCTACAGTTTGCTGCCTCGGTTGCAAGGAGATTGTTGTAAGGTACCTTACCTTGTAGCTTTAATTTCTGCAGACTTGTAAAGTGATGAATTTCAACTTTGTTTAATATGTATGCCTAAAAATTTAATAAATTGTTTAGTATAAAAATTTATTTGACTTAACCTTCATGATTACCACAATCATGTGGCCTTTTACCCAACATACCACCCTTTATGTGGCCTTTTAACCACGATACCACCTTTATGCTGGAGAAGGGCACTTGATCCAAGGTACTGGGCCTGCCATCCCATTATTTGGAACAAACATGAGTGCCTTCCCTTCCTCCTGGCAGTCTATGAACCCTATGGAATAGGGTTCATAGACTGCTGTGCTGGAGGGCCCCACTTACATAGCAGGTTAGGTTCCAGGCTACTGTTGTATAGTGAAAATTGCTGTAAAGTGAAGCATAGCCTTTTTTCACTTTCAAATGCATATAAAAGCCTGATAACATGTTCATACATATAGCAATATAGCCAGGTCTAAAAAATGCATATACAGTACACACATTACTCACCTTAGTTTATAGTGAGTGGTGAACATATTGTAGCAAGTCCGAATAAATGAAGAATTGGTATAAATGAAAAATGCTGCATAAGCGAAACGCCATACAGTGAAGCGCTGTAAAAGTAAAGTGAAGCTGAGGTCAGTGGTCACCTGCGGTCATACCTGCCTAAGCTCTTGGGAGTTAGCGTGGACTGTTACCAAGCACTATGGCTTGTTGTAGTGTTTTAGAATCTCAGGTTCAAGTGATGAAGAAGATTCTTCTTCAGGAGGAAAATAGGAAGCCGAAGCTTCGCATAGATGAGTTTGGGAGCGAGTGTGAGAAGGATTTAGCAGGTAAGGAAGGAATGGTCACCAGCAGTGATAGTGGCAGCTGCTTTAAGTGGCAAGTGGTTCACAGTTCAGGAAGAAGGAAGATGAGAGTTAATAGAGAAGATGTGAAGGTAGGAAATCGATTCTCTGTTCTCCAAGACAAGTGTACTTCAGTGGTTAGTGAGGTTGAGGTACCACTGATTCCCTGCTAATAAAGGTAAGAATATTTTAATAGTAGGCGATTCTCAGGTAAAAAAGATATATGGACCGTGCATTTTGTAACAGACAGAAAGGTCAGACAGAGTGTGTCTTCCTGGAGCTGGTGTTGGTGACATAGTCGCAGGTTGGATAATTATTATGGCAGGTAATGGGAACAAGCCCATTATCTGTCTTAGTGCTGAGAGTAATGACTTTGGGGGAAGGGCAGGAGAGAGGAGCTGCTGGTTAAGTACAGGTCAGCATAGAAGTAGTTGGGTTTCTAAGGGAGGGATCCCAGTCATATGTAGCATCTTGCCTAGAAAGGGAGTGGGCAATGAATGGATTTTCTGGGGCAATTGGTATAAAATTGCGGCTGAAAGGTACTGCAAGGAACTTGCAATCCCATTCATGATAACGGGGGACCTTTTCTTTGGCAAAACGTGATATGTATGCAAGGGATGGGGTTCATCTCTCTGGGGATGGAGTGGTTGCATTAGCTAATTCAATTGAGAGGGTAATTGATGACTTGTCTAGGAATTTAAACTGATAGATTATAGAGGTATGGGTGTTTGTGGGGGAAAAAATCAGGCTGCAGCATTAGGGTTAAAAACAGCAGATATTTACCGGGATACCTCAGGGATATGTTTAAAAGACAATATTCAAATAAAGTTGCTAGTAATGGCAAATCAATTGATAAACAAACAAAGAGGGATAGTAGAGGGCAACGAGTGACTGCTCCCTTAAATTTTACTATCAAATAGTAGGAGTCTAAGAAATAAGATAGATGAGTAAGATTACTTGCAAGTGTAGGTAAAAATAGATATTATTGGTATAACAGAGACCTGGTTCAACCTGAAAGATAGAGAAATGCCTTCTGAATGCAACATACAGGGTTATAAACTTTTTCCACACTGACAGGGTCAACAGGAAGGGTGGTGGGGTGGCGATGTATGTCAGAGAAAATTAAATTATTTCTTAGACATGATATAAGATAGAAATCGAACACAGAAACCTGTTTGGTACAGTTTCTCGAGGCGTGAACAAATTAATTTTTGGGTGTGATTTATAGGCCCCAAAAACCTTGATAGGGGGAAAGCATGTATAAGCTGTTATGGGACGAAATTCGTTTAAACATCTAGTTATGAAATGTTGTGATAATGGGAGATTTTAACTTTAGAAAAAATTGATTTGGAACAATATGACAGGAAATCATGAGTCTAGTGACTTTCTTGATATTGTTCAGGATTGCTTTTAGAACAGGTTTTTGACAGAACCAACTAGAGGAAACAGTCTGCTTGACTTGGTTCTTGCCAACAAAAAATTCACTAAATTTAAAAATCTTGAGGTAATGATGAGCTTTGGGAAAGGGGATCACAAAATTACTTAGTTTTTATTATCATGGAATTTTCCGATAACTGCAATCAATCTCTGTCCAGATTTTCGCTTGGCCCGACTTCATGGGACTGAAAAATTACCTGGGTGGGCTAAATTGGGATTTTCCTGACTATGGGTCAGGTAGGTGATCTTGGTTGCCAATATTGACGTTTTTCAGGGGCATAGTTCTAGCTGCCCAGCAACTTTTGTTCTGAGTTGGGAAATTTAGATTAACAAAAAAGATCCCAAATGGATGAACAATAGATTTAAACATTTCAATTGGTCAAAAGAGGGTATATATAGGCGTACAAAAGAGGGGATGGGCAGTTAAGAAATCAATATATTCAGTTAAAGAGAGAAATAAGAAAGGAATAAGAAAAGCAAAAGAGGATTATGAGGCTAAGGTCGCAAGGGATTCAAAGACTAACCCAAAAGGTTCTTTCAGGTATACAGAAGTAAGATTAGGGACAAGAGTGGCCCATTAAGAGTTAACTTGGTCAGATCACTGACAGTAATAAGGATATGTGTGAATTCTAAATACCTACTTCCTCTCAGTTTTCACCCAGGAAAAAAACTAGCGATATTCCTGAAATAATAGATTATGTTAGAACAGGATGATAATAACTATGTTACGATTGCGGTAAACTAGTGACATGGTCCTCAGACAAATAGAGAAACTAAAACCTAACAAATCCCCAGGTCCTGATGAACTGTTTGCAAGGGTGTTAAAGGAATGTAAAGAGGAAACTTAGCATACATTTGGCTAATCTTTTTAACATATCATACAAACTGGCATAGTGCCTGATAAGTGGAAAATTTGGGAAATGTTTAAAACCTATTTAAGGAGGTGACAGGTCCTTGGCTTCGAACTATAGACCAATAAGCCTTACCTCCATAGTGGGAAAATGGGATGGAATCAATAATTTTCCCAGCAATTCGTAGCCATTTGACAGGCACAGATTGATTAATGAATCTCAAAACGGTTTTACAAAGGGCGTTCCTGTCTTGCGAATTCACTAACTTTTTTCATTAAGGTGTTTGAGAAGGGAGATCATGGTAATGAATATGATTTGTGTATATGGACTTCAGTAAGGCTTTCGACAGAGTTCCACACCAGAGGCTATTGAGGAAACTTAAGGCACACGGAATAGGAGGAAAATTTTTTTCCTGGGTAGAGGCATGGCTGACAAAATAGACAGTAGAGAGTTTGCATAAATGGGGAGAAATTTAGAATGGGGGCACGTCACAAGCAGTGTTCCTCAGGGGTTTAGTGTTGGGCCGTTGTTGTTTCACAGTTTACATAAACGACATAGATGAGGGAATAAATAGCGACATAAGCAAATTTGCTGATGACACCCAAAATAGGCCGTCCAATTCATTCTAATAGGACATTAGAGCACTCCAGGATGATTTGAATAGACTGATGCAATGGTCGGAGAAGTGGCAGTTTCAGTTTAATATTTACAAATGCAAAGTTCTAAAAGTTGGACAGTTAAATAACCATGCCACATATAAACTAAATAATGTAGATCTTAATACTACTGATTGCGAAAAGGATTTAGGAGTTCTGGTTAGCAGTAATCTAAAACCAAGACAACAGTGCATTAGTGTTCGCAATAAAGCTAACAGAATTCTTGCCTTCATATGTAGAAGTATAAATAATAGAAGTCCTCAGGTTGTTCTTCAACTCTATATATCCTTGGTTAGGCCTCATTTAGACTATGCTGCTCAGTTCTGGTGACCGTATTACAGAATGGATATAAATGCTCTGGAAAACGTACAGAGAAGGATGACAAAGATGATCCCATGTATCAGAAATCTTCCCTATGAGGATAAACTGAGGGCCCTGACCCCTCAAGGAAGGTTCCTTGATGTTGGTGAGGGGCTCTTGATTTAGGGAATTGGATCTGTGCTCCAGTTCCCCGAATTAAGCCTGAATGCCTTCCACATCCCCCCCCCCCAAGCGCTGTATAATCCTCCGGGTTTAGCGCTTCCCCCTTGATTATAATAATAATAATAATGAGGGCCCTGAATCTGCACTCTCTCGAAAGGCGTAGAATTAGGGGGGATATGATCGAGGTGTATAAATGGAAAACAGGAATAAATAAAGGGGATGTAAATAGAGTGCTGAAAATTTCCAGCCAAGACAGGACTCGCAGC